GTCATGTTTGTGATCTAAGAAAGAATTTTGTCTCGCTGGCTTCGGTCAGTTTCAAAATTATTCAGCGCCAAGCGCTGTTGATACAGGCCAAGGATTCCGTGCCTCACAGTCATTGAAGTCTCCATACTGGCGTGCTGGTGCGCCTGTCTTACACAACACCCTCACATAACATTGTACACTTATCACACTTACAATAGGTTAGATAAGTGCATGGTGCTTCCTTAATGTGGACGTTGTACACTTACCGCATTACATCTGTACCCACCCCAGTACTGCCTTTCTGCGGCAGTTATTATATTTATGGGGAAGCACCAAACCTGTAGTGGTCATCATACGGCGCCTGGAGGATGACAAGCAGTCAGGTTTGATACGAGGAATGGGAAGGCAGCTGCAATTCCTTCGATCAGGATCCGTTTCCTGGCATCAAGACACCGTGCTCCCCCTCCCCTTGAGGTGAAGGTGATGTTACTGTGCGTGTGCGTACTCACCTATATGTGGTTGCAAGGGTCGAGTCTCAGTGCCTGGCCCCCGCCTCTTAAACCACAATCGCCGGCCTTATTGGTTCCTGACCTCATGGGCCCTATCATACATACTCTTAAAACTTTGTATTGAATTTGCTTCTACCACTTTCATCTAGCTCATTCTATTAATTTAACCACTCTGAGACTGAAACAGTATTTTCTAATATCCCTTTAGTTCATCTGTGTCTTTAGTTTCCATCTATGTCCTCTCTCTCCTATGCCTCTCATTTCTGTCTGCCCTGTCAAAATCTCTGAGTATCTTGTGTGTTGTACTCATGTCTCCTCCAACCTTTCTTTCGTCTGAAGTCGTCAGGTTCATTTCCTTTAGTCATTCTTCGTAACTCAGTTCCTTCACCCCCTGCGACTAGTCTTGCTGCAAACTCTGGACCTTTTCTAGTTTTCGTACATGCTCGATCAGGTGGGGGAGGGGGTCCATGAATGGGTTGTATAATCCATGATAGGCCTGACATATGTTGTGGGAAGAGTCCTAAAAGATTCTTTATTGATGTTACTGAAGGCAGTTCTGAGATTAGCAATCCTCGCAGATGATATGCAATTTTGTGCACCTCTGGCGATATGTTTGAAATGATGTTCACCAAGATTTCAGTTTGATCAGTTGTAACACTGAACACATGTGAGTGTCGATTATGGGGAAGCACTAAACCAGCAGGGGTCATACAACGACTGTGGACTGGAAGATACCAAGCTCTGCTCCAAATGTTTTAAGGTTACATGTTTCAACAGTGACTTATTGGCTATGCCTATTTAAGACTTGCTTAAAATCTTATTATTAAAATTATTATTCTAGTCACGAGTAGCGTGAGTTAGACCTGCCTATCATGAGCCAATAGGCCTGCTGCAACGTTGCTTAGTTCTTGTGTAAAACCTGTACGACTCTTGCAGCGCTGCATAAATAACACATTACAACTGTAACCAGCTATAAACACTTAGTTTATTACCACTGTAACTTGTTCAGTTATCAAAACATTGCGGCCTGTTCCCTGGATAAATTATGTACCTCTGCAATCTTTCGACTACCGGCCACAGGATGGGTGTGAGGTACATAATAAAATATTAAAACCAACTCTTCCAGCTCAGGCTTGATGCTCCGTCTACACGTGCGACTCACACTACTATCAAATTTTTTCACTGTCGATAATCAAAGTCATTTTAAATTAAAAGAGTAAAGCTATAATAGTTTCTATAATACATATAAGGAAATGAGACCTTTGTTAGATCGACGTTTCAAATACACGAGGCTTCATCAAGGACTTAGTATAGCTTCGTGTAAGTGTTTTTACCATTTATCGGCTACTCCATGCTTCAACTAAGAACATAAGAACATAAGAAAGAGGGAACACTGCAACAGGCCTACTGACCCATGCGGAGCAGGTCCTTATCCCCCCCCCGGATTAGACTAATGGCCCACCCCCCGGATTATCCTAATGACCCACCCAGTCTGGTCATCCCCACTCAAGCATGGAGCACTGCACCAGACCCAGCAGCACAAGCTAGTCAGGTCCAACTCACACCCACCCACGCCCACTAATGTATTTATCTAACCTATTTTTAAAACTACACAACGTTTTAGCCTCAATAACTGTACTCGGGAATTTGTTCCACTCATCCACAACTCTATTACCAAACCAGTGCTTTCCTATATCCTTCCTGAATCTGAATTTTTCCAACTTGAAACCATTGCTGCGAGTCCTGTCTTGGCTGGAAATTTTCAGCACGCTATTTGCATCCCCTTTATTTATTCCTGTTTTCCATTTATACACCTCGATCATATCCCCCCTAATTCTACGCCTTTCTAGAGAGTGCAGATTCAGGGCCTTCAGTCTATCCTCATAGGGAAGATTTCTGATACATGGGATCATCTTTGTCATCCTCCTTTGTACGTTTTCCAGAGCATTTATATCCATTCTGTAATATGGTGACCAGAACTGAGCAGCATAGTCTAAATGAGGCCTAACCAAGGATATATAGAGTTGAAGAACAACCTGAGTACTTCTATTATTTATACCTCTAGAAATGAAGCCAAGAATTCTGTTAGTTTTATTGCGAACACTAATGCACTGTTGTCTTGGTTTTAGGTTACTGCTAACCAGAACTCCTAAATCCTTTTCGCAATCAGTAGTATTAAGATCTACATTATTTAGTTTATATGTGGCATGGTTATTTAACTGTCCAACATTTAGAACTTTGCATTTGTCAATATTAAACTGCATCTGCCACTTCTCCGACGATTGCGTCAGTCTATTCAAATCATCCTGGAGTGCTCTAATGTCCTCATTAGAATGAATTGGACGGCCTATTTTGGTGTCATCAGCAAATTTGCTTATGTCGCTATTTATTCCCTCATCTATGTCGTTTATGTAAATTGTGAACAACGGGCCCAACACTGACCCCTGAGGAACACCGCTTGTGACGTGCCCCCATTCTGATTTCTCCCCATTTATGCAAACTCTCTGCTGTCTATTTGTCAGCCATGCCTCTACCCAGAAAAAAATTTCTCCTATTCCGTGTGTCCTAAGTTTCCTCAATAGCCTCTGGTGTGGAACTCTATCGAAAGCCTTACTGAAGTCCGTATACGCAATATCATATTCATTACCATGATCTACCTCCTCAAACACCTTAGTGAAAAAAGTTAGTAAATTCGTAAGACAGGAACGCCCTTTTGTAAAACCGTGTTGAGAATCATTAATCAATCTGTGCCTGTCAAGATGGCTACGAATTGCTTCAGCAATTATTGATTCCATAAATTTTCCCACTATGGAGGTAAGGTTTATTGGTCCATAGTTCGAAGCCAAGGACCTGTCACCTGCCTTGTAAATAGGTATTTCATTTGCCATTTTCCACTTATCAGGCACTATGCCAGTTTGTAGTGATATGTTAAAAAGATTAGCCAAAGGTATGCTAAGTTCCTCTTTACATTCCTTTAACACCCTTGCAAACAGTTCATCAGGACCTGGGGATTTGTTAGGTTTTAGTTTCTCTATTTGTCTGAGGACCATGTCACTAGTTACCGCAATCGTACATAGTTTATTATCATCCTGTTCTACGTAATCTATTATTTCAGGAATATCGCTAGTATTTTCCTGGGTGAAAACTGAGAGGAAGTAGGTATTTAGAATTTCACACATATCCTTATCACTGTCAGTGATCCGATCAGAGTTACTCTTAAGTGGGCCAATCTTGTCCCTAATCTTACTTCTGTATACCTGAAAGAACCCTTTTAGGTTACTCTTTGAATCCCTTGCGACCTTAGCCTCATAATCTCTTTTTGCTTTTCTTATTCCTTTCTTAATTTCTCTCTTTAATTGAATATATTGATTTCTTAACTGCCCATCCCCTCTTTTGATACGCCTATATATGCCTCTCTTTTGACCAATGAGGTGTTTTAATCTATTGTTCATCCATTTGGGATCATTTTTGTTAGATCTAATTTCCCTACTCGGAACAAAAGTTGTCTGGGCAGCTAGAACTATGCTCTGAAAAACGTCATATTGGCAACCAAGATCACCTGCCTGACCCATAGTTAGGACATCCCAATTTGGCCCACCCAAGTAATTTTTCAGTCCCATGAAGTCGGCCAAGCGAAAATCTGGGACAGAGATTTGATTGCAGTTATCTGGGTAATTCCATGATATATTGAAACTAAGTGATTTGTGATCACTTTCCCCAAGCTCATCATTAACCTCAAGATTATTAATTAGTGAATCTTTGTTGGCAAGAACCAAGTCAAGCAGATTGTTTCCTCTAGTTGGTTCTGTCACAACCTGTTCTAAAAAGCAATCCTGAACCGTATCAAGAAAGTCACTAGACTCAAGATTTCCTGTCATATTATTCCAATCAATTTGTCTAAAGTTAAAATCTCCCATTATCACAACATTTTCATATTTAGATGCCTTATGAATTTCGTCCCATAACAGCTTACTGCACTCCCTATCAAGGTTTGGGGGCCTATAAATCACACCCAAAATTAATTTGTCACGACCCTCGAGAAACTGAAGCCAAACCGATTCTGTGTTCGATGTTTCTAATCTTATATCATGTCTAAGACAACAATTTAAATTTTCTCTGACATACATCGCCACACCACCACCCTTCCTGTTGACCCTATCAATGTGGAATAGTTTATAACCCTGTATGTTGCATTCAGAAGGCATTTCTCTATCTTTCAGGTTGAACCAGGTCTCTGTTATACCAATAATATCTATATTACCTACACTTGCAAGTAATTTTAGCTCATCTATCTTATTTCTTAGACTCCTACTATTTGTATAGTAAACCTTAAGGGAGCTAGTCACTCGTTGCCCTCTACTATCTCTCTTTGTTTGTTGATCAATTGATTTACCATTACTAGCAACTTACTAGGCGAGTTTTATCTGCCTATAAACACATGTGTAACCTTACACACTCTAATATTTGTTTTTATTACCTATACCATTAAAGTGGTTGTTGAATGTGTAACAGACTTGACGAAGATCTTGCGCACGAGCAGAGACTACGATGAGCTGGAACACGTCTGGAAGATGTGGAGATACAACACTGGTCGCAGGATCAGAGACCACTACAAACTCTTCGTCAGACTAGCCAACAAAGCTGCTAAACTCAATGGTACGTCTATTATTATTATTATTATTATTATTATTATTATTATTATTATTATTATTATTATTATTATTATTTTCAACAAATCGGCCATATCCCACTGAGACAGGGTGACCTAAAAAGAAAACTGAGTTTCTCTTTTTTTAAATTAGTAATGTATACAGGAGAAGGGGTTACTAGCCCCTTACGACACGCATGACTTACGTAGGAAAAATTATGTTCCACTTCCCCATGGAGATAAGAGGAAGTAAACAAGAACAAGAACTAGCAAGGAAGTAGAAGAAAACCCAGAGGGGGTGTGTATATAAATGCTTGTACATGTATGTGTAGTGTGATCTAAGTGTAAGTAGAAATAGCAAGACGTACCTGAAATCTTGCATGTTTATGAGACATACAAAAGACACCAGCAATCCTGCCATCATGTAAAACAATTACAGGTTTCCGTTTTACACTCACTTGGCAGGACGGTAGTACCTCCCTGGGTGGTTGCTGTCTACCAACCTACTACCTAGTATTAATTATTATTATTATTATTATTTTTATTACATTCTTGGTAAAACGTTGAGCTCGTAAGGGTTATAATTGCTTCTAGGTAATGGCGGGTAATTATATATCCAAGGAAGAGTAAGGTAGCTGCAACTCCTTGGATGAAGAGCCCTTCACCACCTTGAGGAAACCTCCCTTGAAGGAGGGAAATAAGTTAAACATAACTCACGAAATCGTAATAACACGATTGTAAACAAATCATAATGGGTGGGGTTCGAACCCATGGCAGGAGAGTCCTAAAACTAGGACAGTGTGTTAACCACTGGTTTATATGGCAGTCTAACAGGAGTCATCCAACTAAAAGTATTTCTATACACCACAAATGTTAGCATGGGCCCCCCTGCTGCGTTTGTTATCACAGTAGGGTCCATGCTAACATTCCTAAAATGTATAGAAACATCTCTTGTTGGATGAATCTTGTTACGCCGGCATGGACTGGCCTGCGACTTTTTAGGATTTGCCTGCCTTGGGTTCGAACCTCATCCATTATGATTTAAGCACAAGACGGTCAGTATGGAGTATGCTCGGTACAGGATCTCAAAATTAACTTATTAATAAGTTAATATATCGTACACTGGTGGAAAGAGGGTACTAAAAAATAGACAATATAATGTAAATCAATAAGGCGTTATGACGAGCTAAAATATACTTTTTATTTAAAAAAAATTGTATACATCAGCAGTGTGCTGCTACCCTATTCTATATGATAGTTACACACAGAGAATTAAAGCTAACTGTGTTTCCCTGTCATAGTCACACGATATGAGGCTCATACAAGGTGTTGAAATATGTCAGTCTGAGTTGGGAGACTTCAGTAGGGTAATGAGGATAATGTTAAGTAGTTCCTAACATGGGGGGTGAGAGAGTACATGTACCCTATGGGAGCCTTCCTTTCATGTTGATGAAAGAGAAATACCTGGAGGTTACCTGGAAGTTATTCCGGGGATCAACGCCCCCGCGGCCCGGTCCATGACCAGGCCTCCCGATGGATCAGGGCCTGATAACTAGGCTGTTACTGCTGGCCGCACGCAGTCCAACGTACGAGCCACAGCCCGGCTGATCCGGCACTAAGTAATTAAGTAAGTAAGTTTATTCAGGTATACACAAATACAGTTACATAGAATTATCATACATAGCAGCATATGTGTAGAGAACCTGGGATAACCCAAAAAAGTCAGACAGAGTGACTTATTTCCATTGGGGTCCTTTTACCTTATTATTATAATATAAAGGTTATAATATTTTCTTATTATTCTACAATGAAGATAACATCTTATTATCATACTAAAAAGACTATCTACTACACCAAGGTCATTAAGACTATCTACAATACGAGGGTCATTACTAGGAATATGGTAAAATTTACACGTATGTTAGCTAAAAAATAGAAAATCCTTCCCCTCCCTTTCTGTAGCTACATTCATCAGACACCTTTTGGCACTCTTCTTGAACTGGTTCATGCTATGACTGGCTTTGACATGTGCGGGCAGTCTGTTCCATTCCTTTATTGCTGTACAATAAAAGGTGTTTGAAGCCTGTCCAATGACTGTGGGTACTACAAAGTTGTGCTCTCTCCCCTAGTACTATGATTGCTTTGGTTCCCAACCTTGACAAAATTGACAGCAAGATATTCTGGACATTGTTTGTGAGCAATTTTATAAACATGATTTAGCTTCAGTTGTTTTACTCTGTCTTCAACATTCAGCATATCCAACTGCTGTAATTCATCCTGGCCTACATGTTCTCTTGGTCCCAGCCCCAGGATGAATCTTACGATTTTGTTCTGGGTGATTTGCAGTCTATCTTTCAGTTTTTTTGTCAAGGCAGAGTACCAAGAAGAGCAGGCGTAATCCATATGGCATTGTATAAGGGCTAGACATAGGGTCCTGCGAGCCTCAGTAGGTAGACACTGTGCTTGTCTATACAGGAACTTCAGTCTGGCATTCGCTTTCTTTACTACACTGTTCCCTATCAATTCTCCTGACATGCATGGGTCAAAGGGGATTCCCAAATATTTTACTGATGAAACCAAAGTGATGGGCTCCCCATTACACTGACTTTAGGTATCTGTCCAGCTCTCTCTTGAGGGCAGCCAGGGGAGAACTTTTGAATTTTATATATATATATATATATATATATATATATATATATATATATATATATATATATATATATATATATATATATATATATATATTATATATATATATATATATATACCAGAATTTAATACATTAGCAGTATGCTGCTACCCTATTTTGATGAAGCAGTAAATGTGGAGAAAGTGTGTGAGGCACTCGGTAGAATGAACGGGTGGGGGGGGGTCAAGCAGCTGGGATAGATAGGATTAATATTGTGATACTAAAAGCAGGTGAGAATGTGGTTGTGGAGTAGTTGGTGTATGTGTTAAATATATGCATAAAAGAAGGGTAGGTACTTGAAGATTGACAAAGATCATGCTTACATAATTCCTTTGCATAAGGGAAGAGGGAACAAGGATAAGTGTAAGATTTATAAATGGAATAAGACTGAGTATACCTGGTAAAATGTATGGTCAAATAATTATTGAAAGGTTGTGGTAAGAGAAAAAAGTAGGATTGCAAAGGAACAAGGCGAATTTAGGAAGGGTAGAGAATGTAAATCATTAGTGATTTGGGAAATGAATGACAGTGTATAGAACTTTGTGGCAACTGTTGCAAATATATGGAATTGGTTGTAGTTACTAACAACAGTAAAGAATTTTTGTATAGAGAGTTAGGCTCAGGAGAGAGAGGGACTATTTTCCAGGAAAATTAGACATTAACAGGGATGTTCAGGGTAATTGTGGTCGATTAATAATGCTTTGGTGTTGGGGAGATTATAAGATAATGAATCTGATTCAAATGGGAGTTGTCGCAGTTGCTCTTTGTTGATAACAACTTATTTTGGGAGATTCTGAAGAGAAGTTACTAAGGTTGGTAGACGAATTTGAGAGGGTTTGTAAAAGAAATAAATTAAAAGTGAACATAGAAAAGAACAAGGTGATGAGAGTAACAAGAAATCTAGGTAATAAAATTACATGTCAGATTAGAGGGGGGGGATATAGAGGAAGATAATATATTTTCATATTGGTAATTTAAATTTCGGCTGATGGGTCTGTGAAAGAAGTGAACCATAGTAAGTGGAGTGTTGAAGGATCTATGAAATACTGTATTTTCTGGCATATAAAGAGCACCTCAGTTTTTGCAGGCACATTATGGGGGAAGAAATGCAGCACTCGTTTCAAAATTATAATGAGCCAGTGGCAGGCTGCAGCTATATAACACAGCGTACCTGAGGGAGGTGGAACCTTGCACAGCCTTTTGTCTGCTTCAACACCAACTACAAAGAGCAAACATGGCTGCTTTACAGTTATTTATAACTGCTGAAGCTCGTTCGTTTATTACGTACCGGCAATATCAAAATTATAGTTTATAATAGTTACTGATTACTAAAGTAATCTGGAAAGACTTTTTTTGGAGGGAAAGGGGGTTCGGAGATTAGTTTACCGGTACCGCAACACTGAAACCACCACTTGCTAGTAAATCAAAGCCTTCCCTTGGTCCTGACCTGAGCATATAAGGCACATCGTGAATATCTGAGATTATTTTTGGGGGTAAAAAAGCTTGCCTTATTTGCTGGAAAATAGAGTAATGTACCAGAGTATACTGGTGTGAGGCACGAGCTTTAAACTTGCAGCGAGGAGGAGGCTGGAGGCAGCGAAGATACGTTAAGTGCTAGGTGTGGTGTGAATATTATGCAGAAAATTGGGAGCACAGAATTTAATAGACGGTGGTGGGTTACAAAAGGTATCATTCAGTGGGCTGAGGAGAGGTTGTTGAGATGATTTGGGTATTTAGAGAGGATGGGGCAGATTGAAATTATCATTTTTAAAATACAGTGGCCATCTCCCACCGAGGCAGTAAGATGTATACATATGGAATGGAAAGACAAAAGGATAGAGATTGTTCCAGTAACCGTTGGAGGGACGATGTAAAAAGTTTTTTTTTTTTTTTTTTTTTTTTTTTTGAATGATAGTGTTGAGTATTCGGCAGGATTGAACGACCGTGTTATATCAGAATGAGCGAAGAAAAGTTATTTTTATGGCTTGATATAGTGTTGGAGTGTGAGCTATATAACATTTAGGAAGGGAATGAGTGGAAACTGGTTGGCTGGACTTGAGTCCTAAGGTGGGAGATGTAGTGCCTGCATTCTAAAGGAGTGTGACAGGACACCTGTCGAATGAATAATGATGAGTGTTTCCTATTTTGAGTCACCCTACCTTGGTGGTAGACAGCCAGTGTCATTAAAAAAAATTGTTTAGCTTGACATATGAACTGTCGTATCGACACGCATCTGGCAATTCATAGTGTGAATGATAGTGAAAGGGTTTCTTTTTCAGGTCACCCTGCCTTGGTGGGAGGTAGGGTGACCTGACAATAACTACCCAGGGAGGTAAGACCGTCCTGATAGATGAGTGTTAACGGAAGCCTGTAATTGTTGTATACAGTGGTGGGATTGCTGGCGTCTTGTCTTTGTCTTATAAATACGCAAAATAACAGGTGCATCTTCTTACTACTTCTACTTACATTTAGGTCACGCTACACAGGCATGTGCACGTATATGTATATACACCCATCTGAATTTTCTTCTATTTGCTTAATAGTTCTTGTTCTTTTTTGTTCCTTTGATCTCCATGGGGAAGTGGAAGAGAATCTTTCATCCGTAAGCCATGCGTGTCGTAAGAGGCGACTAAAATGGCGGGAGCAAGGGGCTAGTAACCCCTTCTGTATAAAGTACTAAATGTAAACAATAAGAAAAACTATAGTTTGCTTCTTTTTCTGATTACCCTCTATCAGGAACACTGTTCTCCTCATTATTTAGTAAATAATGTAGTAAATATATCATGTTATTACAGTATTTCCTTACTATTCGCTTGTTTAGTTTAATATTTCAAAATACAGCACCAGACTTGGTAACCATATTGATAGTACGTTGTTGTTTCATACAGTGGCCATGGTTTTTACAGGTTGCATTTATGGTTTCTGAATTAATTGAATACAAGTGACGTTGGATGGATTAAAAAACTCCTAGTCGATGAAATGTTTCCATAATAGTTACCTAAACATGCATATGTGTTTTTTCTTCATACATATATGAGTGGTGTTGAATTTGTAGCGGTGAGTGGTGAATGTGGGGAGTCTATCAGGGGAATTGCTTCAGTTGATGATAAGTAACATACCTCTTGGTTTACAATACAGAGTAATAACTGACATATTTTACCGATGATTTTTTTAAAGGATTTGACAATATGGGAGATATGTGGCTGTATCCCTATGAATCTGATACATTCCGTGATGACTTAGCAGAGTTATGGCAGCAACTGAATCCTCTGTACCAGCAGCTACATGCTTACGTCAGGAGGAAGCTAAGGCAGGTAGGTCAACTTAACGAGTCAAATTGTATTTATTATATAACTCCCTTCAAGTGAATGTATTGGTACTGGTGGAGAGTTCGTGATCCAAGGGAATTTAAGCAACGAAACATGTGTGTATATGGTGTTAAATCAAATTACCTTTACTAAGTAAATTTTATCATAAAATACTAAAACAAGCACATTTGTTCTAGAAATATGGAGAGCATTACGTGACTCGTCGTGGTCCCATCCCAGCCCACCTGCTAGGCAACATGTGGGCTCAAAACTGGGGTCACATATATGACTTGGCTATACCCTTCCCGCAAAAAGCTTCCCTCGATGTTACTCCTCAGATGGTATCAAAGGTACGATCATTACTTCTTTAAGTGTGCTGATTATTATAATAAAAAATGAAGCGCTAAACCTACAAAGGTCATATATGCGGGGCCAGGAGCTGAGTATCGACCCCTGCAACCACAATTAGGTGAGTACATGTTTTTTTAAGTTTGCTGAAACCCGTTTAGTAAATACTGTATATTTAATATTTATGGACTGATAATTTTTTTTAAAACTTGTAAATTAAGCATATTTTTTATTAAGTCTTATTAATAATGATATCGAGAAGAAACTCGGAAAAAGATGAGGAAAATGTATTCCTGATATATATATATATATATATATATATATATATATATATATATATATATATATATATATATATATATATAATATATATATTATATATATATATATATATATGTCTATATATATATATATATATATATATATATATAATATATATATATATATATATATATATATATATATATATATATATATATATATATAATATATATATAATTAACACATCAGCCGTTTCCCACCGAGCCAGGGCGACCTAAAAAGAAAGAGAAACCCGAAAAGAAAGAAAAAATACTTTCATCATTCAACACTTTCACCATCACTCATACATAATCACTTACTTTTCAGAGGCGCCCAGATACGACAGTTTAGAAGTCCCTCCAAACTGCCAATATCCCAAACCCCTCCTTTAAAGTGCAGGCATTGTACTTCCCATTTCCAGGACTCGAGTCCGGCTAACCAGTTTCCATAAATCCCTTCACAAAATATTACGCTGCTCACACGCCAACAGCTCGTCAGATCTCAAAAACCATTCGTCTCCATTCACTCCTATCTAGCACGCTCACGAATGCTTGCTGGAAGTCCAAGCCCCTCGCCCACAAAACCTACTGTACCCCCTCCCTCAAACCTTTTCTAGAACGACCCCTACCCCGCCTTCCTTCCCTTACAGATTTATACACTCTCCAAGTCATTCTACTTTGTTTCATTCTCTCTAAATGACCAAACCACCTCAACAACCCCTCTTCAGCCCTCTTGACTAATACTTTTAGTAATTCCACACCTCCTCCTAATTTCCACACTCCGAATTCTCTGCATAATATTTACACCACACACTGCCCTTAGACATAACCTCTCCACTGCCTCCGGTCGCCTCCTCGCTGCAGCATTTGCAACCCAGGTTTCACACCCACGTAAGAGTGTTGGTACAACTATATTTTTGTACATTCCCTTCTTTGCCTCCATGGATAACGTTTTTTTTGTCTCCACAGATACCTCAACACACCACTCACCTTTTTTTTTTTTACTTCAATTCTATGGTTAACTTCATCTTTCATAAACTCATCCACTGACAAGTCAACTCCCAAATATCTGAAACCATTCACTTCTTCCGTACTCCCTCTCTCCAATGTGATATCCAGTTTTTCATCTATATCGTTTGATACCGTCATCACCTACTCTTATCTTTGTTCACTTTCAACTTTCTATCTCATCCCTCTTCAAGCCCCCTACTACCCATACTTGCACTAGCCCACCTTTCTGCTAATAGTTGCTTATATCTCACCCTAACTTCCTCCTCCCCTAGTTTATACACTTTCACCTCTCTTTGACTTGCTGTTGCCATATTCCTTTTGTCCCATCTACCTCTTACTCTAACTGTAGCTACAATAAATAATGATCCGATATATCCGTTGCCCCTCTATAAACATGTACATCCTGGAGCCTACCCATCAACCTTTTATCCACCAATACATAATCTTACAAACTACTTTCATTACATGCTATATCATACCTTATATACTTATTTATCGTCTTTTTCACAAAATATGTATTACTTATTACCAAACCACTTTCTACACATAGTTCAATCAAAGGCTCCCCATTTTCATTTACCTCTGACACCCACTTTAGCATTAAGATCCCCAACCACAAGTACTCTCTTACTTGATTCAAAACTCCCCACACACTCACTCAACATTTCCCAAAATCTCTCTCTCTTCCACACTTCTCTCTTCCCCAGGTGCATAAACACTTACTATAACCCACTTTTCACATCCAAACCTTATTTTACTCCACATAATCCTTGAATTTATACATTTATATTCCCTCTTCTCCTGCCATAACTTATCTTTCAACATTATTGCTACTCCTTCCTTAGCTCTAACTCTATTAGAAACCACTGACCTAATCCCATTTATTTCTCCCCACTGAAACTCACCTACCCCACCCCCCCTCAGCTTATTTTCACTTATAGCCGGGACACTCATCTTTTTTTTTTTCATTCATAACATCCACAATCATCTCTTTCTTATCATTCACCCAACAACCACGCACATTCAGACAACCCACTTTGAGAGTTTTCTTCTTTTTCTTTTTAGTAAGTTATACAGGAAAAGGGGTTACTAGCCCATTGTTCTCGACATTTTAGTTGACTTTTACAACACTCATGACTTACGGAGGAAAGATTCTTATTCCACTGCCGCCATGAATATGAAAGGAAAAACGATAAAAACAAGATTTAGATAAAATCAAAGAAAACTCAGATGAGTGTGTATACATAAACGTGTACATGCATGTGTAGTGTGACCTTCGTATATATATATATATATATATATATATATATATATATATATTATATATATATTATATATATATATATATATATATATATATATTTTCAACAAGTCGGCCGTCTCCCACCGAGGCAGGGTGACCCAAAAAAGAAAGAAAATCCCCAAAAAGAAAATACTTTCATCATCATTCAACACTTTCACCACACTCGCACATTATCACTGTTTTTGCAGAGGTGCTCAGAATACAACAGTCTAGAAGCATACACATATAAAGATACACAACATATCCCTCCAAACTGCCAATATCCCAAACCCCTCCTTTAAAGTGCAGGCATTGTACTTCCCATTTCCAGGACTCAAGTCCGACTATATCAAAATAACCGGTTTCCCTGAATCCCTTCACTAAATATTACCCTGCTCACACTCCAACAGATCGTCAGGTCCCAAGTATCATTCGTCTCCATTCACTCCTATCTAACACGCTCATGCACGCTTGCTGGAAGTCCAAGCCCCTTGCCCACAAAACCTCCTTTACCCACTCTCTCCAACCCTTTCGAGGACGACCCCTACCCCGCCTTCCTTCCCTTATAGATTTATATTCTTTCCATGTCATTCTACTTTGATCCATTCTCTCTAAATGGCCAAACCACCTCAACAACCCCTCTTCTGCCCTCTGACTAATACTTTTATTAACTCCACACCTTTTCCTAATTTCCACACTCCGAATTTTCTGCATAATATTTACATCACACATTGCCCTTAGACAGGACATCTCCACTGCCTCCAACCGTCTCCTCGCTGCTGCATTTACCACCCAAGCTTCACACCCATATAAGAGTGTTGGTACTACTATACATTCATACATTCCCTTCTTTGCCTCCATAGATAACGTTTTTTGACTCCACATATACCTCAACGCACCACTCACCTTTTTTCCCTCATCAATTCTATGATTAACCTCATCCTTCATAAATCCATCCGCCGACACGTCAACTCCCAAGTATCTGAAAACATTCACTTCTTCCATACTCCTCCTCCCCAATTTGATATCCAATTTTTCTTTATCTAAATCATTTGACACCCTCATCACCTTACTCTTTTTATGTTCACTTTCAACTTTCTACCTTTACACACATTCCCAAACTCATCCACTAACCTTTGCAATTTTTCTTTAGAATCTCCCATAAGCACAGTATCATCAGCAAAAAGTAACTGTGTCAATTCCCATTTTGAATTTGATTCCCCAAAATTTAATCCCACCCCTCTCCCGAACACCCTAGCATTTACTTACTTTACAACCCCATCTATAAATATATTAAACAACCATGGTGACATTACACATCCCTGTCTAAGACCTACTTTTACCGGGAAGTAGTCTCCCTCTCTTCTACACACCCTAACCTGAGCCTCACTATCCTCATAAAAACTCTTTACAGCATTTAATAACTTACCACCTATTTCATATACTTGCAACATCTGCCACATTGCTCCTCTATCCACTCTATCATATGCCTTTTCTAAATCCATAAATGCAATAAAAACTTCCCTACCTTTATCTAAATACTGTTCACATATATGCTTCAATGTAAACACTTGATCTACACATCCCCTACCCTCTCTGAAACCTCCTTGCTCATCCGCAATCCTACATTCTTTCAGTTATAACCCTACCGTACACTTTTCCTGGTATACTCAGTAAACTTATTCCTCTATAATTTTTACAGTCTCTTTTGTCCCCTTTCCCTTTATATAAAGGGACTATACATGCTCTCCGCCAATCCCTAGGTACCTTCCCCTCTTTCATACATTTATTAAACAAAAGTACCAACCACTCCAACACTATATCCCCCCCCTGCTTTTAACATTTCTGTCATGATCCCATCAGTTCCAGCTGCTTTACCCCCTTTCATTTTACGTAATGCCTCACGTACCTCCCCCACACTTACATTCTGCTCTTCTTCACTCCTAAAAGATAGTATACCTCCCTGACCAGTGCATGAAATTACTGCCTCTGTTTCTTCCTTAACATTTAAAAGTTCCTCAAAATATTCTCGCCATCTACCTAATACCTCCATCTCCCCATCTACTAACTCCCCTACTCTGTTTTTAACTGACAAATCCATACTTTCCCTAGGCTTTCTTAACTTGTTTAACTCACTCCAAAATTTTTTCTTATTTTCATTAAAATTTCTTGACAGTGCCTCTCCCACTCTATCATCTGCTCTCCTTTTGCACTCTCTCACCACTCTCTTTACCTTTCTTTTACTCTCCATATACTCTGCTCTTCTTATAACACTTCTGCTTTGTAAAAACCTCTCATAAGCTAACTTTTTCTCTTTTATCACACCCTTTACTTCATCATTCCACCAATTACTCCTCTTTCGTCCTGCCCCCACCCTCCTATAACCACAAACTTCTGCCCCACATTCTAATACTGCATTTTTAAAACTATTCCAACCCTCTTCAACCCCCCACTACTCATCTTTGCACCAGCCCACCTTTCTGCCAATAGTCGCTTATATCTCACCCGAACTTCCTCCTCCCTTAGTTTATACACTTTCACCTCCCTCTTACTTGTTGTTGCCACCTTCCTCTTTTCCATCTACCTCTTACTCTAACTGTAGCTACAACTAAATAATGATCCGATATATCAGTTGCCCCTCTATAAACATGTACATCCTGGAGCCTACCCATCAACCTTTTATCCACCAATACATAATCTAATAAACTACTTTCATTACGTGCTACATCATACCTTGTATATTTATTTATCCTCTTTTTCATAAAATATGTATTACTTATTACCAAATCTCTTTCTACACATAGCTCAATTTAAGGCTCCCCATTTACATTTACCCCTGGCACCCCAAATTTACCTACTACTCCCTCCATAACATTTTTACCCACTTTAGCATTGAAATCCCCAACCACCATTACTCTCACACTTGATTTTATATATATATATATATATATATATATATATATATATATATATATATATATATATATATATTTATATATATAATATATATATATAATATATATAATATATATATATATATATATATAATATATATATATATATATATATATATATATATATATATATATATATAATATAATATAAAATATATATATATATATATATATATATATATATATATATATATATATATATATATATTATATATATATTATATATATATATATATATATATAACACTTGCCGTCTCCCACCGAGGTAGGGTGACCCGAAAAGGAAACACTTTAACAAATTTTATACAATACTCTAATAAAAGAATTATTTTTGTCTAGGGTTACACACCCAGGAGAATGTTTGAGCTATCTGAAGAGTTCTTCGTTTCACTCAATTTGACGAGAATGCCACCAGAGTTTTGGCAACACTCCATAATAGAAAAACCACAAGGACGTGACTTGGTGTGTCATGCATCTGCTTGGGACTTCTGCAATGCCAAAGATTTCAGGTATAGTATTGTTTTTTTAAGTGTCTTAATATCAGTTATTTAATAGTAGCTCTAAGTGAACTTTAAAATATTAATATCACCTATACAATGTTTTTCTTTTTAATTTTTTTTCACACCAGGGTCCAGCAAAAAATAAAACGGTTGTTTCTCTCCCCTGCTGGCCAGTATGTTCCATTATAAAAAAATATATATTTAGGAATTCAATTATCAATTAAAATATTTATAACTTTAGTATTATTTTTTAAAAATAAAACTTTTCAGAACTTGTTTTACTAATTTTCCAAAACTTGTGTGCTATATTGTTAATCTCTGTCATACTCTAACCTTTCCGGTCATCACTTCAGCCTTATACAGTGCTGTAGCATTTTGCTTATGTTATTTGAATTTTAGGGGCATGTCTTTTAAATGTATGTTAATTATACTCTTAGTTTAGTTTTCCAATCTCACTATTTTAATCATTACAGTGAAAAAACTATCTGTATCATTAGATGTTAGCTTGTATTAGCCTTGTTAAACTCGTAAGTGAATTCAGCTAATTGTTTTACTTCATTTGGATAGTGCTCAGATAGTGGTCATTTTAAGTATTGGCCTAAAATGTTTAGTATTTTTATTAGAATGTTAAGATAGTGCCCTGATTATTTAAGAATAAAGCAGTGCACGGAGGTGACCATGAACGACCTGATTACCGTGCACCACGAGATGGGTCATGTCGAGTACTTTCTTCAGTACCAAAACCTTCCTAAAGCTTTCCGTGATGGTGCTAACCCAGGTAAGGTAAACTTTATGCTTTGGCATGAAATGTGACGACCGTGTTACAGGTTACAAACATTATTTGTGTTGTTTAACAAGATTTTAGTAACTGATATTTTAATGTTGCATTTGAGGTGTGACCTACGACAAAACGCACATTAAGACGCAAATAAATGTCACAGTTTCATGTTAAATGCATTTTTTTTTTTCATATTAACGGTGGATTCGAGCACTGTAAAGCATTTCATATATTAAGAGCTACGTATGAAATGTTTTATTTACACTCCATCATTTTTAATGTTAATCACTGTTCTACACATGACTTTCACTATTAACATGACTTGGTTCCTCAGGATCAAACAGTGTACGGATGTGACCATGAATGACCTGATAACAGTTCATCATGAAATGGGCCATATAGAATACTACCTGCAGTACAAGCATCTCCCTGGGGTGTTTCGAAACGGAGCCAACCCAGGTGACAGTATCCAGAAAAAAAATAATATAGTAGAGAATTTATGAACAAATAGCTTTAGTTAACATAAAGTTTGGTTCAAGTTCAGAGTTCTATTAAGAGGAGTGAATTCCTGGAACAGGTAAATTAATTAATATACCTAGTTGCGGACTCCTTCACATTATTATTATTATAATCAAGGGGGAAGCGCTAAACCCGGAGGATTATACAGCGCCTGGGGGGGATGTGGAAGGCATTCAGGCTTAATTCGGGGAACTGGAGCACAGATCCAATTCCCTAAATCAAGAGCCCCTCACCAACATCAAGGAACCTTCCTTGAGGGGGACTCCTTCACAGCTCACACGAGTATTTTTGGCTAGGCTTCTAGGGGCTGTTTCTATAGTCACGTTGGTCGCTATTGCTGCCACCGCACAACTAGCGTTATAGGGCACCTATATACAAGACCCTAATCATTTGGGCACAGAAGGCGAGGCTAAATTCATACACTTATTTTCTCACTTTCGTTCCTAATCACCTTGATATACAACAAACTCTCAGTGGTGGGGAATATTATATAAATTCAGACATTAGGGAACACGTAGCACTAGGAGTACTCACACAGTTTCCAACAGTCAAGCAGGAAAATGAGTTCTAAAAGTAAGCATCTAGTTAGTGAAACAGTAAGCCAGTCAATCTGTTAGTCAACCAGTCAGACAGTGAATTATTAACTAATCAGTGAGTTAGTGTGTCACTCAAACGCTGAGTTTGTAACCAATCGGACTGAGTTACTGAGCCAGTCAAACAGTGAGATAGAAACAAATCAGACTAAGTTAGTAATCAGTCAGTGAGTTAGTCATTAGTTAGACAGTGAGTTAGTCAAGGTAGGTGCACTTAATGGAGTCAAACTATGATCAGAGCCCTGGTAAAGAGGGGAAGAAGGATGGAAAATGTAGGAAAGGGGTGAAGGAGGCGTAGGAAGTGGATCAAGGGAGGTGCATGTCTGTATGTAATACATTTAAGCAACTTTTCTATTTATACATGAAGTACTGATGTAACTAATCGCATGCATTTATTGAATAACCGTATGATACTAGTCTGTATACCACATAAGTGAAAAAAAAAAGTTCCATCGTAAATTCAGAGACAAAAATGCGGATACAATAAACCAGCAATTATATAGTCAGAAAAATCAGTGAAGAAAGATATAAGCCTTATAAAGTATAACTAATGAATAGTTTTTTGTGGTCATCAAAATGCTTGAAATGTCTACATATCAAAGTACCGTGTCAGTAAATTTGTCCCCCTCCCTCTGCTGTATTGTGCATAGCTTTCTCACTGCCTGTTACTGAAGTCATATGTGTATGTAGCACTGTTTTAAGGGGTGTAAGTTGTTTTTCAATATACTGTAGTATGGTTTTTTTGTGTTGTAAATGATAAAGATTAGCTTGAATGTTCTGCAGATCGTTAAATACTAGAAAATATGTTGGACCAAAAGAAAAAATATATTAGTTTCTGCAGAAAGAAAATAGTAAGCGCAGTCAGTCTATTATTACTGCAGTTTCATAGTTGCAAAATCTGAGCATTAATTTATTAATGAGTTTAAGATACAGTATGTTTGTTTAATGTAGTGTATAATAAACTTGTCCTCATAAAGTGAGGCAGCTATAAATATCGAATATTTGTGGCAGGGTTCCACGAGGCTGTAGGAGACGTGCTGGCCTTGAGTGTTTCCACACCAAAACATCTTCTAAAGATTGGTTTGCTTAACGAAGTTCAAGACGATCCTGAGGCGGATATCAACTTCCTTTTGAGCATGGCACTTAGCAAAATAACTTTCCTGCCTTTTGGATACCTGATAGACTTGTGGCGATGGGATGTGTTCAGTGGCAAAACTCTTGAAAATGACTGGAACTGTGCCTGGTGGGATCTCAGGTAAAATTAATATGGTTTGGCCCTTTAATTTATCTGCCAATAATGTCGATGAAATAATTTTCTTTATACTTAAATATAAAGGTGCCGTTGTTCGTGTATAATAGTTTTCACCCTATTTGGAATGCACCCAAAACACACCTTTATATGTCTTAGTAAGAACATTCTCACACATTCTCAACAGAGAATAAGAATATTCTCTGTTGCCTCCTACATATGTTTCACTTTTTTTCAGTTAATAGATAATTTTCACTATTGTAGTGATTAGTGTCCATGAAAGCACAAAACTTTTAAGAAATTTCACGTTTATACTGATAATCATATGGTTTTAAAAAGAATCCTTTAATCTTTTCAGTATCTTATGATTTTTAAAACCCTCCTCGTATATTGAAATCCTGACTGCGTTGTTGGGTGCAGCTCCAGCGGCCCACGAAAATTTTACCGTTGACATCCAAAATGACGGTGGACGAAACTGTAGAACTGAGGTGGCAATCCGCGAGCCAAGTCAGTGACAGGAACTGGTTGCCTAGCACTGGGCAACCACAACCTTGCTCTTCATAAATATAGGCCCATATACGATCACAAGGGGTGATCACCGGCCATGAGAATACTTCTCAACTTTATTAATGATAAAATAAATAATCGAAGTAATATTGAGGAAACAAAAACTCAAATTCCACTTCTAGTACAGGCAACAGATCCTACATTAATTCATCTTCAACAATGCAAAAAACTTGAAAAATAAAGAAAAACATTGCAATCAGAGAAACACTAGTTCCGATTGGCCTTAAGTACAGGTAACATCTCGATGAATCATATCTTACATTTCCTTGTCTTCAATCCTGCAAAATCATCTATCACATCATCAGATCAGTGCTGTCAACTGACCCATTTTCTATGGATAACATTGCTAAGTCAGAGATTCTGGATTGAATCATTGTGGACCGTAAATAGTTTTTAATCAGCTTTAATTTCGAGAAACTCCTTTCACAAGAAGCCACAGAAACACATAATAAGGAACAACCTCAGGCAGAGTGTCAGAGTTGGAAGAGATTCAATGAAATCCCATTCAGCTATGAATGTTAGTGAGGCCAATGCAATCCAGTGCTTAACTTTTTCAAGCTCAACATCAGAAGCTTGCAGGTGCCTCCTTAGTCTTGGTATTTCAAGCATGAGCTCATTCTTGCATATTTCAGTCAGTGATGAGTGATCATAGTGATGCCAGGTGGATTAATGTTTTCTCCAAAATATCGTAAATAAAATTATCGATTTATCGTAGTTTTTCGTATAGCGTCATTGATTTTCCCTATATAGGCCTACTTGTACTCTGTAATCATACAATAGGCTATATAGAAACAAAGGATTTTTCTCTTATGTTGCTGCAGCACTGTTTTGGGCATTAGTGTCACCAGGGGTGGCCCTCCCCTTACAACGCCGCTGCAGAGACACTAGTCATGCTGACTGAAAACGTCCATGTTTGCAGCTTATATCATAAAGGAATCAGTCGTAAGGGCAATAATGGTAGAATTACCAACAAAATGTTAGGTAAATAGACACACGGCTTGACAAAGCTCCTGGAGAGCGAAAAGTTGCCACAATAAAATGTCACGTTAGTTGCATCCATTCCTTTTACCAAACAGTCGTAAGGGTTTGCGGAAACCATGGAAACTCTTGACTCGAGGGTTTGCTTACACCTCCACCCATCATTTTAGAGCCTCCCAAAATACTTCAGAGGGATGAGACACGTCATCCCTGGGGACAGCTGCTGAGCTCCGATTCGTCACTTTCACTACCCGAGAAAAGATACAGGCAGAGTGGCAAGGTCATAACCATCAAACTTAAACGTGAGGGAAAGCACATGTATAGTGTATTCGGTTCCATAAATGGCGAGCAAACAAGGGTAGCTTGTGGCCTACCTAACATAAGACGCTACAGATAATGTCCTTGACGTTTATGAAGCTTGCACTCCCTACCATAACAATGTGTGTGACTGCCTACAGTATTCACATAAATAATGCAATGTCAAGTCTGTCACGTAAGAAAGTACGGATACTAAAGATGGTAATATAAAATTATTAAAATAAGTTTTTTTCAGTGTAGCTGTGAAGTCAATTGTAGTATACTCTTAACTTTTGTAGCTTTCTCAATTTATATTTAAAATGTTATGTAATCTTTAATTTCAGGTATAAGTTACAGGGAATTAAGCCTCCCGTGCAACGTTCTGAATATGACTTCGACCCTGGTGCGAAATACCACATTCCTGGAAATACGCCATATATCAGGTAAGTACAAAGGTACTTTATATAGTAGAATATTTCTCTTCTACATGGAAAATTTTCATCTTAGGTTAAGCAGAAAAAAAAGCCTTTGGTGGTAATTTTAGTATATTAACAGATTTTAAAGGTTAAATGTAGTTTTAAAACAATGAAAATGTTCAGTCCGGGAATTTTACTGAGTAGAAATGCAACAGACAGAAAATAATTAAGGGAGAGAGTGTGTGTGTATGTGTGTGTACTCACCTGTATGTAGTTGCAGGGGTCGATTCACATCTCCTGGCCCTACCTCTTTGCTGGTCGCTGCTAGGTCCACTCTCCTGGCTTCAAGAGCTTTATCGCACTTCTTTTTAAAGCTAATTATGGATCCCGTCTCTACCAGTTCACTCTCTAGATTATTTCACTTCCTTACAACTCTAAGGCTGAATAAATGTTTCCTAACATCCCTCTGACTCATCTGAGTTTTCAACTAAGAGTTGGGACGTCTTGTTCCTATTTCCCATCTCTGAGGCATTCTGTCCCTGTTCACCTTGTCAACTACTCTCGATATTTTGCACGTTATCATATCCTCCATAGTCTTCCCGTCCTCCAGTGTCATCAGGTTGAGTTCACTTAACCTCTCCTCATAGGATATACCCCTTAGCTCCGGGACTAGTCGTATTGCAAACCTCTGCACCTTCTTCAATTTTTTGACGTGCTTGACCAGTTGACCAGATGTGGGTTCCCTACTGGTGTTGCGTCCTCCAATATGGGCCTGACGTGCACTACATACAATGTTGTGAATGACTTCTTAAATGTCAAAACGCTATCCTTAGATTTACGAGATGCACATTTGTTGCAGCAGTTATGTGGTTGCAGCCTTCGCCCCCGAAGCCTGTACTACGTCTGCGGTCTTCTTTGTCCTTCCTCAAGCTTCATAACTTTGCACTTGGTGAGGTTAAACTCCAGGCGCCATTTGTCGGACCAGGCTTGTAGCCTGTCCAGATCCATTTGCAGTCTTTACTGGTTCTCGTCCGTTTGTATTTTCCTTATTAATTTCACGTCGTTTGCGAAAAGGAATACCTCGGTGGGTGCGTGCGTGCATGCGTTTACCTGAAAAGGACATTACATGCTTAGAAGAGTGTCTAGATTTGTGTAAAATTAAAACTATAACAAGACCATGCATGAACTACCTAACTAGGCAATAGAATATAGATTAGTGTATGCAATATACGAGTGTTATACTGCATGTTTTACTAACATGACTATGGTGGAAGACAGTGAACAGCATATAATGAGAGAGATTCAGATATAACTTAATATGCACAGATGTGAAGTAATTGTTCCATTTTTAAAAATTCTTTACAAAATACTGTATTTATAACTATTAATTTCCGCTGTGAATCGTGTTGCTATTATGGTTAGTCAAATATGAAAATATCTTTTATTCCAGGTACTTTGTAAGTTTTGTGGTGCAGTTCCAGTTCCACAAGGCACTTTGCATAAAGGCAGGAGAGTATGACCCACTGGATCCTTCCAAACCACTGCACAAGTGTGACATCGACCATTCCACTGAGGCTGGCAATGCCCTGGGGTCAGTAAAGGCATTATTTAAATTTGTGTATGGCTCTGTGTAGGTCGACATAGTGGTCCTTTATATTATTATTATTATTATAATCAAAAAGAAGCGCTAAGCCACAAGGACTATACAGCAGTGGTCCTTTATAATCAAGCTGTTCAAAGCAAGAACTATACAAGAGTTGCCCCCTCCCCCTTATCTCCACCCATCCTCTGTTCTTTTAAACTAAAATACTGCATAAAACCTGGAGGGGGAAGGGGGTAGCTCAGAAGTGAGGCCATCTGGTTCACAGCCCACATTATTATTATTATTATTATTATTATTATTATTATAATCAAGGGGGGAGCGCTAAACCCGGAGGATTATACAGCGCCTGGGGGGATGTGGAAGGCATTCAGGCTTAATTCGGGGAACTGGAGCACAGATCCAATTCCCTAAATCAAGAGCCCCTCACCAACATCAAGGAACCTTCCTTGAGGGGTCAAAGCCCACAGGTCCCGGGTTTGGTCTTTGGGGCAGTTATTCATTTTATTAGGCTATACCATCGAAGTAAAAAGTTTTCAATTCTTTTTTAAGAAGATTGAAATAACAGTCGTTTTCCACACATAGGACAGAGAAGCTTATGACGACGTTTCTTATGTACGAGATATTTGTGTATTGTTTCAGTCGCAGTATTGTGCTTTTTTGTTCTTTAACGTCGTTTTATTTACATTTTTTTTTTACTGTACAGAGATATGCTGCAGTTAGGGTCATCGAAGGAGTGGCCCGAGGCATTGGAGATATTGACAGGCACTCGTAAGATGGATGCCTCAGTTATCAGAGAGTACTTTAAACCACTGGAGCTGTGGCTTGCTAAGGACAATGAGCGTCATGGAGAGTTTATCGGCTGGGAAACTGGTAAGTGAATCTAACTCAAAATTTTCGTCCTTCCTTGTCTACCAAATGTGTACAATAAGTTTTATTCCGGAAAAAATGCAAACGATTTTACACGTAGTAGTATAAAGTTATTGAAAAGTTTTGATGATGAAGTCAGTTTGACGTAATTACATAAGAACAAAAGAACATAAGAAAGGAGGATCACTGCAGCAGGCCTGTTGGCCCATACTAGGCAGGTCCTTTACAATCCATCCCACTAACAAAACATTTGCCCAACCCAATTTTCAATGCCTTCCAAGAAATAAGCTCTAACTCTATCCACTCATTTGCAAGTCCCAATCAAATCCAACCCCTCCCACTCATATATTTATCCAACCTAAATTTGAAGCTAATTTGACTTTATAGTTAATTTAGTGATAATAGTGTGAAGTGTACCTAAGGAATGAGTTTTGTAAAGAATTGTGTGTTCAGTTTAATAACTTTATTATGCCCTACATATCTATCCTGTGGGTGGTCAAAAGATGTGAAGCACATAATGGGTCGGGGGACTGGACCGCAAAGTGTGTATTCACTTTTATATAATCCCTACCATTACTTGGAGTATACCTGGAGAGGATTTCGGGGGTCAACGCCCCCGCAGCTCGGTCTGAGACCAGGTCGCGTGGTGGATCAGGGTCTGACCAACCAGGCTGTTACTGCTGACCGCACGCAAACTGAAGTACGAACCACAGCCCAGCTGGTCACGTACTGACTTTAGGTGCCTGTCCATTGCCTTCTTGACGACAGCCAGGGGTCTATTGGTAATCCTCTTTATGTATGCTGGGAGGCAGTTGAACAGTCTTGGGCCCTGGACACTTATTGTGTTGATTACAGCGACATATGTACCTATATTTTAGCCTAAGTTCGTAAAAAAATCCCTAAATCTAAAGGAGTAGTGGCCGCTGATATATAAATATTTATAATATTTTTCCTTATATTGTTCTTGAAGGGATGGAAATTCTTGACCCGCTGAGTGTTTTATTTTTCCTCTCAACAGATGAAATATTGTGCACGTCAGAAGTAGTTAAAAAGACAGCCAAGAGTGAAGAAGGTGTTGCTGCTTCTGATGGTGTTGTTGTGGGTGGTGGTTCAGCTCCTGGGTCACTCCTGCTCATCTTCTTCACACTTCTTCATTTTGTTCAGTTTTGATTCAAAGTATCATTGGTTAAGTTAAAACACGTAGACATAATTAGAACTTTAGTAATATAAAACAATATTTGTTGATATAACGTTTAAGCAATTGTATTAAACAAATTTATCTACAATAGTATAGTACGTAATGAACATTTTATTAGGCACTAAAATACTCTTGAAAATATCTATATCAATATGTATATTTTTGTATTCTACATAGTTTATATTTTTAAGGGACAACTTTTTATTAACTTCATAGTTTTGTACATACAAAGGATGAAAAATATATTTCAAAAGAAGAGAAATATATTATTGTAATTTTGAACAGATTACTGAGTTGAGACTATTTTTCTAGTTTTAAAGGAATTACAACCGTATGTACCTGACAACTGTACACTCTCCTATGGTTAAGTGCTAGTACAATTTTGGAATAAATTATTATAATAATGTATTTTAATATACTAGTGTATTATAATACACTAATGTATTATAATAAATTGTAATGCATTATAATACATTAATAGAGCATAATACACATGTAATACACTATGCATTGTAATACACTAATGTATTGTAATGTAGTAAATGTTATTATACACTAAATTAATAAAATAATTATGATACCATAAACGGTTCTAACTGGTGAATATTTCTGAGGTTTATATACTTCTCGGTGTATATATACTGAGGTGTATATACACTGAGTTGTATACTGGGTGTATATACACTGAGGTGTATACTCGGTGTATATACACTGAGGTGTATATTCGGTGTATATACAGAGGTGTATACTCGGTGTATATACAGAGGTGTATGCTTCTCAGTGCATATATACTGAGGTGTATACTTCTGTGTATATACAGAGAGGTGTATGCTACTCAGTGTATATACACAGAAGTGTATGCTTCTCAGTTGATATACACTGAGAGGTGTATACTTCTCGGTGTATATACACAGAAGTGTATCCTTCTCAGTTGATATACACTGAGAGGTGTATACTTCTCGGTGTATATGCACTGAGAAGCATATACTGAGGTGTATGCTTCTCAGTGCATATACACTGAGGTGTATGCTGCTCGGTGTATATACATTGAGGTGTATGCTTCTGTGCATATATACTGATTCTGTGTATATACACTGAGAGGTGTATGCTTCTGTGTATATATACTAAGAAGTGTATGCTTCTCGGTGTATATACAGAGGTTTCTTGCAGCCTTAATGACCCTTGTATAGTCTATAGGCTTTAAATCCCATTAACCACAACTTTGCATCATTGGTAATAACGTCATGTGACCACATTTACAGATACATATATTAATTAAAAATCATATTTACAACACGTAACGATAGAAAGGTGAATAAAGCTGACCTATTATAACGTAAATAATAATAAATTATTTCTAATGATTTTTTTATTTTCCTGTTTAACAATGACAAAATAAAATGTACGAAGGGAAAAAATATATTTCCTATGGTGTAGTGAGTTTACTTCACTGCAGATTTATATTTCAATTAGGAGGAATGGTAGGGAGTCAAGTGGGATCCAAGGCAGGAGAGGCTAATACCAGTTCCCTGGACTAAATCCCCAGCACCGAGGCTCAATATATAGGTTCTCTCCCCTCCACAAAAAAAATTAAGGAGGAATCAGGTTAAGTCACGGGTGTTCTGAAGTTTGGAGCATTTTACAATGTAGTGGGAAAGGAAGGCATCTACTGGGACGAAGCCAAGACTAAGATTCACACAAGGAAAATTGTGTATTAAGGAGGCGACTGTTGAAGTTGGAAGTAGGGAAGACAGTTTTAGCAGAACAGTCAATAGGATGGCTGTGATCTGTGACGTGACAGAAGAGAGCATTGTTAGTATCGGCAAGCCTAACACTACTTTTGTGCTCTCTATCAGAAAGAGATCAGCCAGTTTCTCCAAAGTATTGAAGAGGACAGGAGGAAGAAGAATAGAGTAGACACCAGGAACATCTGTAGAGGGAGGAGAGGTATGAACGAGATTAGTGCGAAGAGTGTTAGTCTGGCGGAAAGTAAGTTTGATGTCTAAGGAACGGAGAGAATTGTTGAGATTAGAAAGACCAGAAATGTCGGGAAGACAGGGGACAGAAGAGTTCCCAGGAGTAGAGAGGTTTTTTGGGAGTTTAGAAATTACGTTCAGCACGTGAGAAAGCAAGAGTCTATGAAATGGGAAGAGTAGCCAAGACGGGAAAATGAGTTATGAAGAGTGGAAATTTCTGATTGAAGGAACTGAGGATCAGAATGCGGAGAGCACGGAGAAAGAGGGAAATAAGAACACTTTTCTTGACAGAGGAAGCATGATAAGAAAAGTAGTGAATGTACATGCTACTGTGTGGCATGTACAGGCAAAACCTGTATCTGAGCGGTGGACATGAACATCAAGGAAAGGAAGCAAGGAATTAGATTCCCATTTAGCTTTAAACTTAATGAAAGGGGCAAGATTATTAAGAGCATCAAGAAATGATTGGAAGAGACTAGAGTCATGAGGCCACAGAGCAAAGATGTCATCTACATATCGGAGCCAGAGTGAAGGGCCCACATTGGTAGTAGAAAGAACAACAGTCTCAAAGTATTCCATGTAAAGATTCGCAAGGACAGGAGAGAGAGGAGAGCCCATAGCGACACCGAAGGTTTGAGAATAACATTTCCCTTGGAAGGAAAAGGAATTAGAGTCCACGCAAAGGCGGATAAGATCAAGAAAGACATCAGTAGGTATAGGGAGATAAACCCTTCATTGGCTTTCTCTGTAAGAAAATCAAGGGCATCATCCAGAGGGACATTAGTGAAGAGGGACTCAACGCCAAATGGTCCGTCCAAGTCGGACCGAAACGTCGTCGTAAGTTCCTCTCTTCTATTTGCGGGTTATTTGTGTATCGTTCCAGTCACGGTATTGTGCCTTTTTTTTTTTATTCTTTGATTACGTCTGATTGCCCGTCATTCCTTGGTCACGTCTCGTTATCCTCCTGCTTTCCAGGTAATTTTTGACTCCATACAGAAGGGGGATTACCATTAGACCCCTGGCTGTCTTCAAGCAGGCACTGGACAAGCACGTGAAGTCGGTACCTGACCAGCCGGGCTGTGGCTCGTACGTTGGATTGCGTGCAGCCAGCAGTAACAGCCTGGTTGATCAGGCTCTGATCCACCATGAGGCCTGTTGTTAGGTAAGACACATATGCAACAGTTAGGTATCTTTATTTCGAAACGTTTCGCCTACACAGTAGGCTTCTTCAGTCGAGTACAGAAAAGTTGATAGAAGCAGAAGATACTTGAAGACGATGTAATCAGTCCATCACCCTTAAAGTTTTGAGGTGGTCAGTCCCTCAGTCTGGAGAAGAGCATTGTTCCATAGTAGGAAACAATATGGAGATGAAGTGACAAATTGGAGCCTTATATAGCGCCAAGAGGTGAGACGTAGGTCACTAGAAGAGGTAAGAACTCAGATGTTGTGAGGTCAGGTCCCTCTCAAATCCAGCCGTTCTCACTAGTGGAGGTTGTCGAAGTTGATTGCAGGTCTGTACCAAGATACCCTTGTGTTGCAGTGTCTGACAGATTGAACATTAAGGCCTGGTCACAGACCGGGCCGTGGGGGGCGCTGACCCCCGGAACTCTCTTCAGGTAAACTCCAGGTACGAGTAAGTTTATTCAGGTATACACAAATACAGTTACATAGATTATCATACATAGCAGCATATGTGTAGAGAACTGAGGATAACCCAAAAAAGTCAAAGTGACTTATTTCCATTGGGGTGATTTAGTTTAGTGCTTTCCCATGTAAGATTATATTTTTTTTTCAACAAACCGGCCGTATCCCACCGAGGCAGGGTGACTTAAAAATAAAAATGAAAGTTTCTCTTTTTTACATTTAGTAATTTACACAGAAGGGGTTACTAGCCCCTTGCTGTCGGCATTTTAGTCGCCTTTTACGACACGCATCATGAGGTGTTTTATCTCCGTTATGCGCGCCGTGAAAGTTCTCTGTACATTTTCTAGGTCGGCAATTTCACCTGCCTTGAAAGGTGCTGTTAGTGTGCAGCAATATTCCAGCCTAGATAGAACAAGTGACCTGAAGAGTGTCATCATGGGCTTGGCCTCCCTAGTTTTGAAGGTTCTCATTATCCATCCTGTCATTTTTCTAGCAGATGCGATTGATACAATCGCATCTGCTAGAAAAATGACAGGATGGATAATGAGAACCTTCAAAACTAGGGAGGCCAAGCCCATGATGACACTCTTCAGGTCACTTGTTCTATCTAGGCTGGAATATTGCTGCACTCTAACAGCACCTTTCAAGGCAGGTGAAATTGCCGACCTAGAAAATGTACAGAGAACTTTCACGGCGCGCATAACGGAGATAAAACACCTCAATTACTGGGAGCGCTTGAGGTTTCTAAACCTGTATTCCCTGGAACGCAGGAGGGAGAGATACATGATTATATACACCTGGAAAATCCTAGAGGGACTAGTACCGAACTTGCACACGAAAATCACTCACTACGAAAGCAAAAGACTTGGCAGACGATGCACCATCCCCCCAATGAAAAGCAGGAGTGTCACTAGCACGTTAAGAGACCATACAATAAGTGTCAGGGGCCCGAGACTGTTCAACTGCCTCCCAGCACACATAAGGGGGATTACCAACAGACCCCTGGCAGTCTTCAAGCTGGCACTGGACAAGCACCTAAAGTCAGTTCCTGATCAGCCGGGCTGTGGCTCGTACGTTGGTTTGCGTGCAGCCAGCAGCAACAGCCTGGTTGATCAGGCGCTGATCCACCAGGAGGCCTGGTCACAGACCGGGCCGCGGGGGCGTTGACCCCCGAAACTCTCTCCAGGTAAACTCCAGGTAAGACAGGCTTTGACTTGTGCAGGCAATCCGTTTCTACTCTTTTTTTTCTGTATAATAAAAGGTGTCTGAAGCCTGACCACTTTCCCTGCTACCATACTGGTTTTGGTTCCCAACCATGCCAGTTAGTTTAATTACCGGGCAGGACCGAGTGTAGTCGGTCCTCATAACGTGGTTTTTTGCGCACGTCCTCCAACTCCCCCCGCGCATCTAGGTTCCCATTCTCTATTTCTGACCAATCACAGACCTTCCCTGAGTCGCCCAGGCTGAGCGGTGATGGCGGCTGCTCGCTTCCCATTGGTCGAGACAGCAGAATGTAAACACTTCTACCTTGCCGGCGCCAAAACTCGTGTTTCTCGGTATAGTGCTCCTTATATACTGAAGCATTTCACCCAATACAATGTCGGTAAGTACTGATTTGTGTGTCTAGTGTGTAAATGAATAGTTTAGCCATATTTTGATATATATATGAAGGCGTGTGAAGCATATTACGAGTGCACCATGCAAATGAAAAAAGTGCAACAAAATAGGACCAAGCACAGTCGTTCCTGCCCTTTTAGGTGCAGTTTTCAAGTTTCGGTATATAAATATTTCCATAAAATTTGGTAGTGTATATATGAATTCAGTAATGGTCTGGGTGTGTACAGAATGTTTTTATTGTCCTTCCAGATCAATAAGAAATTGTTCTACGGTGAGTCCTCCAAGGATACCTCGAAATTTGTCTGTGTTTGGGATGATACTGACTCAGATCAAGACTCAGATGACCTGGATTTCCTGGATAGTGAGGATGAATTCTTGCCACCAGATGCAGAGGTGTCAACAGATGGGGAGGAGGAAGATGGGCCACCACCAAAAAAACAAAAATTGAACAAGAGGAAGAAACGTATTACTATGGAGGAATACCCTGATGAAGAAGTGCTTCAAGATGATCTTGCTTCTCAAGTAGACACCAAATGGAAGAATGAGGACATCCACAATGACCCTTTGCCTAAATATGTGAGGCTGGATAAACAGCTAGGTCACTGGCCAGTGCTAGGTAAGCTGCTTTCATGCAAGTTTTGCAGCAAAAAGAATAATCATGTCACATCCTCATTTTGCTGTGCCATATGTAAAGTAAATCTGTGCATAAAGAAGGATAGAAATTGTTTCATGAAGTTTCATTTGCAAAATTAGTGATGTGAAATGATTGTTCTTTCTCAGGGAACTCAGGAATATTTCATTTGTAAGTTGCATCCCATTGCAATGTGTCATTGTTGATAAGTAGTTCCTATTTCTATTTTTTACTGGTACAAATTGTTCAGAAACAAGTTCCATTTATGTTTTTTATATTGTCTACTTGTATAATAAATTTAAAAAATACTTATTTCGTTTTTTTACAACCAATGCAACATTGCAACATTCAAAAATGGTATACCCCAAACGGGCAGGACCGAATACACTCGGTCTTCGAATATCTGCAATTGCGCGAGATGTTACTTTCACAACTCTGTTTGGATGGTCTCAGTGACCTTACATTGAGTGGCTCTATCCCCTCATAGGAAATCACTTTCAAATTCACACTTTAGACTGCCTTGCCCTCTGAAGGGATTATTATTAATATGTTTTTTATGCATCCCATACCCATCCTGTGGGCGGTAGTCAAAAGATTACAAAGGTACATAATGGGTCCAGGGACTGGACGACGGCAAGTGGAAATAAGTTACTTTGTCGGACTTTTTTTTTGGGGGGGGGGGGGGTTCTACGTAATTTACACTATATATGATAATTGTACTTATGTGCACTTGTCCCTAAATAACCAATTTACTATATGAGATGAAGGAAGATTGGAAGAAGAGTTACAGCATTTTTTTTTCCGACATAATATACCTTCTTTTTATCTTGGGTAATTTACATATATGTTACTATATATGATATGTGCATGCATGATAGTGACTTTCTTTGTGTGTACCAATACTTTCTTACATGTAAACGACAGTTTGTATGCTACACAAAGAAATAAAAATCTGAATTACTTAGCTTTGGGCAACATATTTCCTTGCCCATACACCGGGAAGCATGGCTGGATGAAGAGTATCACTGTCAACATGAAACACCAGCACCACCAGCATCCACCTGAGTATCAGTGACAAATTTTCCCGCACTCTCTGGTATGCTTTTCCTCATCAACTTTGCTCGCGGGACACATTACACGAGGGGCACCTGGTCATCGGCTTACTTTTATCCAGCTCCATTTTTTCCTCTCTGCGGATAATTTTTTAACAGATTTGGTGGGAAGTTCCCTCTAGCAAGGACTGTTGACACTCCCCCAAGACTCCTATTGTCTCACAGGTGGCTTGTACAACACTGTCAAGAGTAAAAGCTGCAAACTGTAATAATAAATTACAAATTACCTGATCGTTGGTCATGGGCAGGCTAATTAACCGTCAGTTAACTATCCCTTATTTCCCCACCCAGTATTTAGTGGCCACGTGACTAGGGGTTATATACAGTAATATCACCAACGGGTCTGACGCAGAGACTTTTATCCACAGATTCGCTGGAAGGTCTCTGAAGTAAGTTGTTAACTACCAGGTAACGTTGGGGGGTCCGTGAGGGACTCTAGCGATTGAAACTTGTAAGGAGGTATTCTCAACACTGTCTAAAAGATGGCTACCAGCATCCTACTCCCTCTAGTTCATTGGAGGACCGCTAGATGTCTACATAAATAATTTTCCCTACTCATTTCTGTATAATGTAAACATATTAAAGCCTAAAACTACATATTTTAATTCTATTATTAGTTCTTAATTCTACCTAAAACCTGTAGTCATTCAAACAACTCAGGGAATCTGTCTAATGTCCCACCATTACTGTACAAGCGAGCGGCCCATATCCTTTCGCATGCTATTTCATTACTTTTTAACAAGTTACTAGAAACTAGCACCTTCCCGAAACTACTCAAGATGGCAAGGATTACACCAATACATAAAGGTGGTGACCCTACAGACTTAAACAACTATAAGCCAATATCAAACTTACCATTGCTATCCAAAATCTTTGAGAAACTCGTGCACAGGAGACTATATTCATTTATAACAACACAAAACATACTCAACCCCTGCCAATTTGGATTCAGGAAAAATAAAAGCACTAATGATGCCATGCTAGGCGTTCTAGTGGTACACTCTGTAATCATTATTTAACTACATGTAAACCACACAACAACCAAATTCTGTAAATTCAACATTGTAATCTTTATAGAGAATAAACTTTGAATTTGAATTTGAATTTGAACTTCCACTGCATATTTTGTTGGAGTGGATTCTAAAGGCCTCTACTGCTTGTTAAAATGGCCCTGTGGGATTTCCTGAACTCTATAAATTCCCACAATAAATATAGTTACATAAATTATCATACATAGCGTATGTGTAGATTATCAACGATAACCTAAAAAAAGTCAAAGTGACTTATTTCCATTGGGGTCTTCGTAATAACTTATTATTTAAACAATAAAAAGGAGAATAAAGTACAGTGAGCTATTTACATTAACATTAAAGACAAGATCAGATCACAATGATACCTATATGTATGTTAGCTATAAAAGAAATCACTCTCATCCCTTTCTGTAGCTACATTCATTAGGTACCTTCCGCCATAATTATAATTATAATAATCATTAAGTACCCTTTGATTCTCGTCTTGAACTGGCTCATGGTATGACAGGCTTTGATATGTGCACCCCTCAAGGAAGGTTCCTTGATGCTGGTGAGGGGCTCTTGATCTAGGGAATTGGATCTGTGCTCCAGTTCCCCGAATTAAGCCTGAATACCTTCCACATCCCCCCCCCACAGGCGCTGTATAATCCCACGGGTTTAGTGCTCCCCCCTTGATTATAATAATAATAATAATTTGATATGTGCAGGCAGTCCGTTGCACTTCTTTATTGCTATACAATAAAATGTGTTTTGAAGACTGACCACTGACACTGGGTACTACAAAGTTGTGTTCCCTCCCCCTAGTTCTAAAATTGCTTTGGTTCCAAGACCCGGGCCGGAAGTACCGGCGAACCTCTAACGAAGGTTCCCAGCCTTTACAAACTTGGCAGCAAGATATTCTGGACACTGTTTATGAGCAATTTTATAAACGTGATTTAACTTCAGTTGTTTTACTATGTCATCATTCAGCATATCCAGTTGTTGTAATTCATCCTGACCTACATGCTCTCTTGGACTCAGGTCCAGGATGAATCTTACCATTTTGTTCTGGGTGATTTGTAGTCTATCTTTCATGTTTTTGTTAAGGCAGAGTACCATGACATTGTATAAGAGATAGACATAGGGTCCTCCGAGCCTCATTACTCATTAGGCAGACATTAAACTTAGGTGGGGGTGTGGGCATCCCGTCCTGCTGGGACTTGGCAAGGTGGTCCACCTGATCTAATTGAAAACTTCTAGTTCCTGTTTCTATTTACAAAGGAGCTATTGTTCCTTTTTTTCATGGCCCAGCTTTGGGCAACAAATCTTCCCTGAACATCGGGAAGTCGGGCTCGGTAAGGCGTAAGCTGTCAGTGGCTCTTATAAACCCAATGAACACGCATCATCCCAGGCAACTTAGAAGAAATAAGTAAGTTTATTCAGGTATACACAAATAGTTACATAGAATTATCATACATAGCAGTATATGTGTAGAGAATTATCATACATAGCAGTATATGTGTAGAGAATTATCATACATAGCAGTATATGTGTAGAGAATTATCATACATAGCATATGTGTAGAGAACCTAGGATAACCCAAAAAAGTCAGACTAAGTGACTTATTTCCATTGGGGTCCTCTTACCTTATTATTATTATATAAAGGTTATAATATTTTCTTATTATTCTATAATGAAGATAACATCTTATTATCATACTAAAAAGACTATCTACTACACGAGGGTCATTAAGACTATCTACAATACGAGGGTCATTACTAGAATAAGGTAAAATTTACACGTATGTTAATTTAAGTACAGGTACACGCACAGTTACACAGATTATCATACATAGCAGCATATGTGTAAAAAAAAGTAAGTGTTTCTTCTTACCCAGCCATTACAGTGTGCACAAACAGATATGGCATCAACCCTCAGTACACATGTGCAGATCCCACCATATATCATTTGAAAATTGAATTTCGCTGAGGAATCTCACAGGTTGGAACCAGGTGAGAAAGAGAGTTTAGAGGCACTTCCTAATGAATGAAGCTCCTGAAAGGGAGGAGAGTGATTTCTTATAATTAGCTAAGTATGTAGGTTGGTAAGTTTATTCAGGTACACATAAATAGTTACATAAATTATCATTCAGCAGCATGTGTGGAAATTAGTCACATTAACTTTTTTCAAGGTTATCCTAAATAATTCCACACATGCTGCTATATATGATATCTTTTGTAACTATTTATGTGTACCTGTACCTGAATAAACTTACTAAATGACCTAGGATACCCCAAAAAGTAGATAAAACCTATTATTGTAAGTTGACCCTCTCCTTAATATTAATGTAAATAACTCAGTTTACCTTATTCCAAGTATATCTCCTCTACTGTAACTGATTTTAACTTTTAAGATTTAAATAATAATGTATTACAAGAACCCCAATGGAAATAAGCCATTTTAACTGACTTTTTTTTGGGGTTATCCTGGGTAATTTACACATATTTAGCTATGTAAGATAATTGTATTTTATCTCTTTATTTGACTGAAGTAACTTGCTTTGTAAGCAAATCCTTTCAAAGATAAAGAAACTCAACTTGTGGACATGTGTTATACTCAACTGGATATACTGAATGTTGAAGACAAAGTAAAGCAACTGAAGTTAAATCATGTTTATAAAATTGTTCACAGGCAAGTTATAAGACATTATTGCTAGATTAAAACTAGGCTATAAATATTTCTGGCAGTACCATTTGTATGGAGATGTCAGTTACATAAAATTTATAGTGTGAAAGGCAGAGACAGAGCCATATACTAGAACATTATATTTTAGATGTCCAGTCATCCATTCACATAGAGATATTTCCAAACAAACCCTTCATGTGGGAGATTTGAGCTTATGTAGGCAAATCTTCCAAAATGACTACTACTACTATTACTGCACTGTACTATTACATGTATTGTTAATTATTGCTCTTACTCTTAATGCTGCTTCTGCTCTTCTTACTTTTACCTTGTTTTGACTTCGTATTTAAATGTCTTTTCTAGGCTTACACAATCGCCTCATAAAGAAAGAACAGAATGCATGACAATGTTCATAAGATGACATAGGGTAAGAAGTACTGCATTATTATGTACATCTGTACATAAAGATAAGTAAAGTGAATACTATGAATGTTTAAGGGTTAAATAATAATTTTAATTCATTGGGTAAAGTTTATCCCATTCATCTGAAATCTTTCCTACAAGGATAAACTGTGGTACACTTACTCTGTACTCTCTAGAAAGGCATAGAATTAGGAGAGGATATGATTGAGGTGTATAAATGGAAGACACGAGTACATAAAGAGGATGTAAATAACATGCTAAAAATATCAAATAGACTTCCAGCAGTAGGTTTCAGGTTGAAAAATTTAGATTTAGAAAGGATATAGGAAACACTGGTTTGGTAATATAGTGGAACAAACCCTCAAGTAGCATAATTGAAGCAAAAAAAATCTTATGTAGCTTTAAAACTCACACACACACACACACACATGTACATATATTTATATAATCTTGAATAATACCTCGTTCCCTATTTAACAGGCAAAATGATATTCAAGTGGGCAATGGGTTCACTCTTCTCTGCAGTGTGTGAACATCGTTGGGATGATGCTTTTCAGGTATTACCCTGTATTATCCTCCGACTGTATACGGTGCCTCTTGATTTCCTCTGGAAGGTGTGTAATGTAAATGTTTCTTTTCAAAATTGGTTGCATTTGTCCTGTTATTGATGTGTGTGAAAACTTAGTGTGACCACGTTTTTAATAATTTATGCAAGTTTTCCACCATGGTAAAGTAGTCTAGAGAGGAAAACTCATTCAGTATTGTACATCATTACTTGCTCCTGACTGTCCTATCCAGATACAAAGAATTACAATGCAATGTTGACACACCAAACAATTATATTTGCATGTGACATGCACAGGTGACACATTATACATATTTATTTCCCATCTGAAAGCCTCAAGTTTTGCTTGCAGCATAGTACAGGTCCACATTCCTTTATCCAAAATTCTGAATTTCAAAAAGTTCCGAAAACTGAAGTTTTTTCGTGGAGTGTGGAGCATCAGTCTGATGCTCCACACTCCAGTCTGAAATTCGAAACAATACAGGCCCCATGTGTTTCAGATAAGGGGATGTGCATCTGTATAACCCACATGGGTTTAGCATTTTTGTTTTGACTGTAATAATAAGGTTTGGCGAAGCTGTTTTGTAATCAGTGTACGTATTTATATAGTAAGAAGTGTGAAAATATGCTTATGGTGTTCAGCATAAATTTATTATACATACTGTATTTCTTAAATTTCCAGTGCGTATAATACACACTATTTTATCTTTAGTCTAGTTTATCTGTATGCTTTACAAGTCCTTAATGTTGTATTTTCTGTTACAACCTGTTGCTACCTATTTAACAACTTAAATCCCTTTTAATTTGTTTTTCTCTTATGTCACCAATTACCTGGAGTTTACCTGGAGAGGGTTTTGGGGGTCAACGCCCCCGTGGCCCGGTCTGAGACCAGGCCTCATGGTGGATCAGGGTCTGTTCAACCAGGCTGTTACTGCAGGCCACACGCAAGCTGACGTACAAACCACAGCCCAGTTGGTCAGGTACTGACTTCAGGTGCCTGTCCAGTGCCTTCTTGAAGACAGCCAGGGGTCTATTGGTAATCCCTCTTATGTATGCTGGGCGTCAATTGAACAGTCTTGGGCTCAGGACACTTATTGTGTTGTCTCTCACTGTACTCGTGGTGTCCCTGCTTTTCATCGGGGGAATGTTGCATCTCCTGCCGAGTCTTTTGCCTTCACATGGAGTGCTTTTCGTGTGAAGGTTTAGTACCAATCCCTCCAGGACCTTCCAAGTGTATATTATCATGTATCTCTCTCGCCTGTGTTCGAGGGAATACAGATCAAGGGCCTTCAACCGTTCCCAGTAGTTTAGGTGCCTTATCGCACTTATGTGCGAAGTTGCATCTGGAGGCTTGTATACTACCACAATGACAAGGTTTTGGTTTTCAATCTTTACAGCCAAAACTTCAACTACATCATTTGAGGTGTTTAGTAGTTCTGTGCAAATGAGCGACTCTGTGACATATAGGCCAACCCCCCCCCCCCCCTTGTTGCCTGTTATCACATTGGAATAGGTTATAACCTGGGATCCATATTTTGTTGTCATAATGATCCTTTATGTGGGTCTCTGTAAATGCTGCATACATTGCATTTGACTCCGTGAGCAGTCCCTTGATGTAAGGAACTTTGTTGTTTTTTGATGGCTTTAAACCCTGTATGTTTGCAAAGACAAATATATTAGTGGAATTTAGGGGGGTTTTATTTGCTGGTTTTTCAGGTGGTGTAGAATTATTGTCATTTCTTGCCAGTCTTTTTTGCCTTCTGGTCCTAAAAACCTTTGTCCCTGGAGAGGTTGTGGCTCCTCTCTCTTGTTTCCCATAGGCTGGCTGGTCTGTGTCTTCTAGTCCCCTTTAGATGATGTGCCTGGCAGTATGCATTGTAGCATTTTCTTTCATGGATTGATGAGTGACACATTTCTGGGCAAAATAAGTTGCAAGAAGGTAGGCTGCACTCTCCTGTTGTCATGTGGGTTCGGCATTTTTTGGGATGGTCAAAGGTGCATGTCCCACCTGTTTTACCAGATATACCATGTCTGCAGATACCCAAGGCATAGTATTTACATAGATTGTACTTTTGTTTGCTAGGATTTATTGTAGCTCTGTTCACTGCTGGTGCATTTATTTTTCCTGAATCCTCAATATCTTTTACCCCTGTATGAACATCAGTGCTTCCACCAGGTTTTGCTGGTAGTGTGTTGACACTATTCCCTGAGGCATCATCCCATTTTGATCCATCTCCAGCAGTATCTCTATTTTGAACCTCTGTGGACTGAATAGCGTTGTCTTCAGTGTCCTCCAGGACAACACTAGTACCCTCACGAGCACTGTCTTCTAAGACATCACTAGGACCCTCTGGAGCACTTTCCTCCAGGACAACACTAGCACCCTCAGGAGCACTGTCCATGACAGCTCCATCCCTACCACCCATCTTTTTTTTGCCAGCTGTCATAACACGCTGACATGTCTTTCAAGAAGGATGTTTTATTGGTGTTCTTGTCTTTTAATATAGATGTCATTTCCTCATATGGGTCTATCTCGTTTGGGCAGACCTAAAAACATCTCTCTGAGTTTATGTCAAGTGTGGTCACTAGTTTAAAATCCCTGCATATACTATGGGACCACTGACCACAGAGATGACAAGCAATCCAGGCTTGTCTTCATCCCTTACCCTTTCTGCAGACTACACAGATCTTCATGGTGGTGGTCATCTTACAATACTAGACAACTCTCCTAGCTAGCTAGTCTATAATTCCCCGAAGTATTTAATTTTTTGTAACAGTTCTTCTGATTTGGCTTTATTTCCAATGAAACTGTTTGAATCCACCCAAATCCAGCTTTATTTCCAACTAAACTGTTTGAATCCACCTGAATCTGGCTTTATTTCCAACTAAACCGTTTGAATCCGCCCGAATCCAGCGAAACTGGATGAATCTAGTTAGTGGATCACTGTATATCTTTTTTCTAATAAGCACCTTGACAGTAGATCTGTCTATCTGTATTGTAACTATTTGTTGTAGTAACTGTTTGAGTGTTTGATAGGGCACGTAGAGCCCTGTCAGATAGTGAAACCAGTCAGAGGATACATTGTTATCAACGAATCCGTTTGAATCCGGTTGTCAGATGAATCTGGGCAGATCCAGATTAGGCTCACTGAGTGATTTTGGACTAGCTCATGAAAAGGACTACTGGAAAAAAATTAAAGAGAGTAATATGTGTTCAGTTTGATACAGAAAGTATAACTTGCGTGTTTGGGCACTGATGGCTTCAGTACATGAAGATTACTGGAGGAATAATGATTTTCGTTGTGTATATAGCGACCGCTGCTAACTACAGGTTTACCACACACTGTATACGTCACTCCATCACAATAAATACTAACAACTATACACTGCTTATCATATTTCTACAAAACTGTACACTTTTCGTATTTCCTCGATATTTTGCACCTCTTCGTATTTCAACAAGAATGTTTTACTCCCTGGTATCACTAATTATAAGTCAAGTAGACTAGCAGACCTGCATGGGAGGGTTCTGATGACTGCTGGGAATTGTTTACAACATGAAACTGCCTCTTTGGGCCTAACACTTCAGTTTTAAATTTCACCTTATCATTTATTATCCATATACTAGGGTACCACTGTGGTACACACTACAACACTATGTATAACAAACTGTTATCAGGGAGACTGTCTTTCCTCTGACAAATAAGTTCTAATATTTTCACTGGCATGCTAAGCCTAAAGTTCCCCTCTGAGAGTATGATTATGCTTTGTTATTGTACACTGATTCTCCTTTTTTGACAATAGGAGAATGTGACTTGGTCTAGGACGAATTAAAACATCTTTTTTTTTTCTTTTTTAACCATATCAACTGTTTCCCAGTAGGGCAGGGTGATCCAGTAAAGAAGTTACTCTATATTGAACATGATTGATCAGCATGGTGAATGTGTTTCCTGTGATGATGAAAAAATAAAACTTGTAACTCTAAATAAAATTGACTTATATGTTAATAAATATTTGAGCAACCTTTTATCAAGCTTGTTTGACTTGTACTCAAAAATTTATTGTAACTCTCTTGGCAGGTGGTTGATATTATAACCCGAAAAGCGACTGGCATCTCTCTGAGCCGTAGGCATCAGTTACGAAGCGTTATCTGTAACATGCACATGATAACATATGAAGTTGTGCTTGATTCACTCTCACAGGATCTAGAAGTGGCCAGCGATGCTGATGTAGATGTTTTATTGCAAGTAAGTCTCTTTTAATTTTTTTACAATGATGATGAACTTTCTTTAATAAAATATACCTTAAATTTATTTATTTTTAAAAGATATTGCTATTGTCTTTGTATACTTAAAATGTAAATTTATTAAAAGGCAACACCTTATAATTGAAGAGAATGTACAACTTTATTATGCAGTAAATAATAATATTGAATTAGAGAAGGATATAATTATTTCTTATTAAGAGGATCCCTTGAGCCATGGATACAAATATAAAAAGAAAAGCAAAAGTTTTTCTTTTTAAATTTAGTAAGTTATACAGGTGAAGGGGTTACTAGCCCCTTGCTCCCAGCATTTTAGTTGCCTCTTTCAACACACTTGTCTTATGGAGGAAGAATTCTTTTCCACTTCCCCATGGAGATAAAAGGAAATAAGAAAATAGAAGAAAACCCAGCTGGATATGTAAATATATATATATGTGTGTACATACATATAGAGGGGCAACTGATATATCGGATCATTATTTAGTTGTAGCTACAGTTAGAGTAAGAGGTAGATGGGAAAAGAGGAAGGTGGCAACAACAAGTAAGAGGGAGGTGAAAGTGTATAAACTAAGGGAGGAGGAAGTTTGGGCGAGATATAAGCGACTATTGGCAGAAAGATGGGCTAGTGCAAAGATGAGTAGTGGGGAGGTTGAAGAGGGTTGGAATAGTTTTAAAAATGCAGTGTTAGAATGTGGGGCAGAAGTTTGTGGTTATAGAGGGTGGGGGCAGGAGGAAAGAGGAGTGATTGGTGGAATGATGAAGTAAAGGGTGTGATAAAAGAGAAAAAGGTAGCTTACGAGAGGTTTTTACAAAGCAGAAGTGTTATAAGAAGAGCAGAGTATATGGAGAGTAAAAGAAAGGTGAAGAGAGTGGTGAGAGAATGCAAAAGGAGAGCAGATGAAAGAGTGGGAGAGGCACTGTCAAGAAATTTTAATGAAAATAAGAAAAAATTTTGGAGTGAGTTAAACAAGTTAAGAAAGCCTAGGGAAAGTATGGATTTGTCAGTTAAAAACAGAGTAGGGGAGTTAGTAGATGGGGAGAGGGAGGTATTAGGTAGATGGCAAGAATATTTTGAGGAACTTTTAAATGTTGAGGAAGAAAGGGAGGCGGTAATTTCATGCACTGGCCAGGGAGGTATACCATCTTTTAGGAGTGAAGAAGAGCAGAATGTAAGTGTGGTGGAGGTACGTGAGGCATTACGTAGAATGAAAGGGGGTAAAGCAGCTGGAACTGATGGGATCATGACAGAAATGTTAAAAGCAGGGGGGATATAGTGTTGGAGTGGTTGGTACTTTTGTTTAATAAATGTATGAAAGAGGGGAAGGTACCTAGGGATTGGCGGAGAGCATGTATAGTCCCTTTATATAAAGGGAAAGGGGACAAAAGAGATTGTAAAAATTATAGAGGAATAAGTTTACTGAGTATACCAGGAAAAGTATACGGTAGGGTTATAATTGAAAGAATTAGAAGTAAGACAGAATGTAGAATTGCGGATGAGCAAGGAGGCTTCAGAGTGGGTAGGGGATGTGTAGATCAAGTGTTTACATTGAAGCATATATGTGAGCAGTATTTAGATAAAGGTAGGGAAGTTTTTATTGCATTTATGGATTTAGAAAAGGCATATGATAGAGTGGATAGAGGAGCAATGTGGCAGATGTTGCAAGTATATGGAATAGGTGGTAAGTTGCTAAATGCTGTAAAGAGCTTTTATGAGGATAGTGAGGCTCAGGTTAGGGTGTGTAGAAGAGAGGGATACTACTTCCCGGTAAAAGTAGGTCTTAGACAGGGATGTGTAATGTCACCATGGTTGTTTAATATATTTATAGATGGGGTTGTAAAAGAAGTAAATGCTAGGGTGTTCGGGAGAGGGGTGGGATTAAATTATGGGGAATCAAATTCAAAATGGGAATTGTCACAGTTACTTTTTGCTGATGATACTGTGCTTATGGGAGATTCTAAAGAAAAATTGCAAAGGTTAGTGGATGAGTTTGAGAATGTGTGTAAAGGTAGAAAGTTGAAAGTGAACATAGAAAAGAGTAAGGTGATGAGGGTATCAAATGATTTAGATAAAGAAAAATTGGATATCAAATTGGGGAGGAGGAGTATGGAAGAAGTGAATGTTTTCAGATACTTGGGAGTTGACGTGTCGCGGATGGATTTATGAAGGATGAGGTTAATCATAGAATTGATGAGGGAAAAAAGGTGAGTGGTGCATTGAGGTACTATATGTGGAGTCAAAAAACGTTATCTATGGAGGCAAAGAAGGGAATGTATGAAAGTATAGTAGTACCAACACTCTTATATGGGTGTGAAGCTTGGGTGGTAAATGCAGCAGCGAGGAGACGGTTGGAGGCAGTGGAGATGTCCTGTTTAAGGGCAATGTGTGGTGTAAATATTATGCAGAAAATTCGGAGTGTGGAAATTAGGAGAAGGTGTGGAGTTAATAAAAGCATTAGTCAGAGGGCAGAAGAGGGGTTGTTGAGGTGGTTTGGTCATTTAGAGAGAATGGATCAAAGTAGAATGACATGGAAAGCATATAAATCTATAGGGGAAGGAAAGAGGGGTAGGGGTCGTCCTCGAAAGGGTTGGAAAGAGGGGGTAAAGGAGGTTTTGTGGGCGAGGGGCTTGGACTTCCAGCAAGCGTGCATGAGCGTGTTAGATAGGAGTGAATGGAGACGAATGATACTTGGGACCTGACGATCTGTTGGAGTGTGAGCAGGGTAATATTTAGTGAAGGGATTTCAGGGAAACCGGTTATTTTCATATAGTCGGACTTGAGTCCTGGAAATGGGAAGTACAATGCCTGCACTTTAAAGGAGGGGTTTGGGATATTGGCAGTTTGGAGGGATATGTTGTGTATCTTTATACGTATATGCTTCTAAACTGTTGTATTCTGTGCACCTCTGCAAAAGCAGTGATAATGTGTGAGTGTGGTGAAAGTGTTGAATGATGATGAAATTATTTTCTTTTTGGGGATTTTCTTTCTTTTTTGGGTCACCCTGCCTTGGTGGGAGACGACCGGCTTGTTGAAAAAAAAACAAAAAAAAAAGAAAACATACATGTGTAGTGTAACCTAAATGTAAGTAGAAGTAGCAAGATATACGTTTCCCCATGTGTTTATGAGACAGAAAAAAGACACCAGCAATCCTTCCATCATGTAAAACAGTTACAGGTTTCCATTTCACACTCATTTGGCAGAATAGTAGTACCTCCCTGGGTCGTTGCTGTCTACTGACCCTACTGCCTAGGAAATATAGATATATCTGACTAATGGATATTAATGGTCACTGTTGTAAAACCCAAGTGGTGACTGTATTATAACTGTATGCACACAGTACTAGCAAGGGATATTGTACTAGTATTGAACATGCTGTTACTAGGTATACATGCAGACATTTGAGTTAAAAAAATTTAAGTATTTATTTTCAGTTTGGTTGCACTATGCCACACAAGTAGACCTTTTTTATTAATGAAATTGTTTTGAAATTTAGGGTCATTGCAGAAATTACCTTGACATTTCTTTTATCCCAGGTTCTACAAGGGTTAGTCACTATTGGATTACTCATTTGCCAAGTTGTACATTAATTTCTTTTCTTACTAACATACAGGTCAAACTGGTACACAAGGTTTTATTAAATCGCTTCAGCACCATAATTTGAAGCCCCATTTTTTTTGTGTGATTAGATGACATACAGTACTGTATAGTGTTTCAGGGCATTGTGTCACATTGATCAATGTTTAGTGGCATTGTATCACATTGATCAAGTGTTTGTCAGTGAGTTATGGATTATTGTTAAGTTGTCTCTTACATTGTTTGTAAACATACATTGATAGTTGCTTAATTGTCTCTTACATTATTTATAAATACTCATCAACTGCAGCTTAATTGACTCTTACATTGCTTGTAACATTCATTAATTGTAGTTTAGTTGACTCTTACATTGCTTAGAAGAATTTATCTTACAATGACTTATTTCTTGGAAGCATTATTCATTATTGGCTAAATTGAAAACAGACTGAGTTTATTGAAATCTCTTGTTCAGATCTCATCCTAATCTCTTACTGTGCATAATACTGGAGATGTTGGGACCATGGAGGTTTGGTTGTGTTGCCAAATAATCTCTTGTAGAAGCAGTTTATATCACATCACAAAATTACTTCCCTAAATACTCCCATTTCATCAACATCAGAAGTAAATGAAGTACTTTTCTGCTTCATGTATTTCTCACTGAGTGACTATGTCAGATAAGAGTTTGTATAGGTAGTTTGACCTTTCCCAAAAATATCTATACGATACAGATTGTTTTTATTGTGCAAGAGCTTTGCACAATAAAAACAAAATATTGTTTTTGCCACTCCAATGGTGTTTCATTTATGCCATTTATGTTATGCATTTCTTTTTATTTATTTCCAGGTGGAATAGTTATTGCATTATTCTCTTTTATTATTGTATTTTCTTATGTTCACACAAAGACTGTCAGAGCAATACATACATGCCTACAAATGCATTTACATTGGTGCATGTGCTCATGCAAACATTCATATTGGTACATCCATGCCCACAAATATCTTCATATTGATAAAAAATATTTTTAACACACCATCTGTCTCCCACTGAGGCAGGGTGACCTGAAAAGTATGAAATATTTTCACCATCGTTTACTTTAACACTGCCTTGCCAGAGTTGCACCAGTACAAAAGTTCAGATTTTCCTCCACACTGCAAATATCCCTACTCCTCCTTCAGAGTGCAGGCAATGTATTGTTGAAAAATGCCCACTGTATTTCTCACCTCCAGGACTCAAGTCTGGATAACCAGTTTCTCAGAATCCCTTCACAAAATGTTACCTTCCTCACAATCCAACAGCTTGGCAAATCCCAAAAACCATTTGCCTTCACTTCTATCTGACATATTCACACACACCTACTGGATGTCTAGCCCCTTGCAAAAAAAAAAAATCCTTTACTCCCTTTCCTCTAACCTTTCCTAGGATGACCCCTACCCTGCCTTCCTTCCGGTACAGATTTATACACTCTCCTCAGCCCTCTTGATAATACTTTTAGTAACTCCACACATCCTAATCTCTAAACTAAGAATTCTCTACATAACATTTACACTACATGTAAAGTAAAAGGACACAAGTGCAACTAATGTGACATTTTATTGTGGCAACGTTTCGCTCTCCAGGAGCTTTAACGTTGCCACAATAAAATGTCACATTAGTTGCACTTGTGTCCTTTTACTTTACATATTGTCGGTAATTCTACCAACTTTATTACATTTACACTACACATTACCATCAGACACGACATCTCCATTGCCCCCAACTTCCTCCTCACTTCACACCTATATAAGAGTGTTTGTACATCTATACTTTCATACATTTCCCTTTTAACCTCCATGGATAATGTTCTTTGTCTCCACAGGGGCCTCAGTGCACCACCCACCTTTTTATCCTCATAAATTTTATGGGTTAACTTGTCTTTCATAGACCCATCCTCCGACAAGTTCACTCCCAAAAATGTGAACATATTCACTTTCCCCATACTCCCTCCTTCCAATCTGATATTCAGTCTTTGAGAATCTTACAAAAGCAAAATGTTATTAGCAAAAAGTAACTGACAACTACATTGTATCAAATTATTTATCTTTTAATTCCCACACCTTTCCTCAACACTAACGTTTACTTTTTTAACAACCCCGTCTATAATTGTGTTAAACAACCTTGGTGACATAAAATATATTTGTTTAAGGTTGGTAGACAGCACCCACCCAGGGAGGCACTACCATCCTGGCAGATGAGTGTGAAATGGAAACCTGCAATTGTTTTACACAGTTACAGGTTTGCTGGTGTTTTTTTCTTTTTGTCTCATAAACATGCAAGATAATGGATATATCTTGCTACTTCTATTTACACTTAGGCTACACTACACAGGCATGTACACATACGTATATGTATACACACTCATCTGAGTTTTCTTCTATTTTCTTAATAGTTCTTGTTCTTATTTATTTACTTTTCATCTCCATGGGGAAGCAGAAAAGAATCCTTCTTCTGTAAGCCATGCCTTCTCCTGTTTGAATTATTAATATAAGAAGATTAATAAATATTTGTACACAAAAACTTTCATATTGATACATGCCTATAAATGCTTTCACTTTGATACACACATGTAAACTTTAATACATACATGCTTTTTGAAGTATACTGTATTTTTAAGTTCAATATTTATCACAGATGCTGGAGGAGTATTGTAGGCAGAAAAATTGGGCAAAAACCTTAAATGATCCTGACCAGAAACGGCTGAAAGCGCTTTCAGAAGGTTATTATGGCCAAGTTCTCTATTATCGTTGGAAGAATGGCCAGTTCCGAAGTGATGCAGCATCTGTTGTTACATTACAGGATAATGAGGTTTCAAGTTCACAGACATCTGACAAAGGTTTGTAAAACCAACGTTAGTTGAAATATAGTAAAATCTTCATACAGTAGCCATTTACCAGACATACCTAAGTATAACCTGACTCCATGTATAGGTCTGCCCTGATATTTTGCCAAAAAATGCTTAATTTTCATATGTCTTGTGAATAAGTCTTCTCTAGTGTTTGATGGACTTTAAAAGTGTCAAATGATTCTAGTTCAAATTATATTCTAGCCAAAACTTGGGGATGGGGAGGGGATAAAAATGTGACAATTGATGAACAAATATAGAGGATGTTGTAATAATGTTGGTAGAATTACTGACAGTATGTCAGGTACAAGGACATATTCAACTAATGGGACATTTTATCATGGCAATATTTCACTCTCCAGGAGCATTCATCTGAAGCATTCAGAGACCTCTCTCTGAAAGAAGAAACTGAGTTGTTTGAATGTCAATTTCCTCGTCACTAAGGTACCCACCAAAGCCACTGACCTTCTCCAATGTAAAGTCAACTAGGACCTTAATCTTCCACTACCTTCCCAGGATTTCATTGATGTGATTGAACCCTGCATTAACTTCAACTGCTTTTCTTTCAACAACAGACTAGGAATGGGCTTTCCCTTCAGGGCCATAGTAGCTAACTTGTATATGGAACACTTAGAAGCTGAACTTTTCGCCACCATCAGTTCCACCAATGCCACATGGTTACGTTATGTGGATGACACCCCCATAATCATTCACAAACTTTTTTGTGTGTGTAATCTTCAATGAAGGCTCAACGCAATTGAACGAGGTATCCAGATTATGCTTGAAGACTCCAATGACAAGTTACCATTTCTCGACATCCTTAGTCAACAAATTTGCCAGGCAGAAACACCCTCTAGTGAAACCATGTTTAGACTCCTTAATCAAATTATGCTCATTAAGGAGACTTAGTATTATATTGGCTATAGTTCACTCTTAACAATTTGTTTACTAGTGACATCAGGCTTATTAGGTGGTATTGTTTGTAATGGTTTGACAAAGCTTTGGGAGAGCAAAACATTTCCACAACATAATTTCACATTAGTTGCATGTGTCCTGTTTTTTTTTTTTCAGCAAGTCGGCCGTCTCCCATCGAGGCAGGGTGACCTTTTACCTAATATATAAATGAGTTTATTGAGTATACCAGGAAAAGTGTACGGTAGGGTTATAATTGAAAGAATTAGAGGTAAGACAGAATGTAGGATTGCGGATGAGCAAGGAGGTTTCAGAGTGGGTAGGGGATGTGTAGATCAAGTGTTTACATTGAAGCATATATGTGAACAGTATTTAGATAAAGGTAGGGAAGTTTTTATTGCATTTATGGATTTAGAAAAGGCATATGATAGAGTGGATAGAGGAGCAATGTGGCAGATGTTGCAAGTACAGGAAGGCCCCGCTTTACAGCGTTTCACTTTACGGCGTTCCGCTAATACGGTCATTTCAAATTATGACCAAAACTCGCTATACGGCTCCCCCCACCTGACTTTCTAATACGGTCACCGCACCCCACCTTGTTTGTTTACATTCTTCGTGAGCTCAGTAAGCACTAAGTCTCTCCATTTTGTCTGGAAACTCCAAAATTTCAAATGTTTTTAAAAGTTATTTCATATTTTATATATACTCTGATAATTATACTTATGTATACCTGTACTTAAATAAACTTACATACTGTGCTGGCATGCAGGTACACATTAAAATCAGTAAGAGTGTCTTATGTCTCCAGACGTCATATTAGTAATGATAATAATAATCATCGTCTCATTTAAATGTCGTATATTACGTTAATATACACATTTTCATTAATCCATCCATGATATTTTTTCAAAATTATATAATAAACACGATACATAACATAAAAAGATGATAAATACACCCTACAATAGAATAAATAAACAAATATGAGATGTCGTAGCCAGATAACTTGTACAAGTGATGCCAAGAATAACATTTTCTCTAATCTAACATAAGAGAAAATGTGTTACTGGGGGTAACTGTAGAAAATTATTCCTTTCGTATGTATGTAAGTAAGTTTATTCAGGTATACACAAATACAGTTACATAGATTATCATACATAACAACATATGTGTAGAGAACCTAGGATAACCCAAAAAAGTCAGTGTGACTTATTTCCATTGCCTTCACTCAGAGCTTCATTTCTTCTTAAAATGATGTTACATGAGAATGGGAGTGTTCTTCTTTATTTATTCTACCGTATCAATGTAGAGACAACCTGTACACAATGTAACTTGTACACAAACCAGACGTGTACACTTCGTTTGTTTACAAAACTTATGTTCGCCTGGTTTGTTTACATAACTCTGCGCCTGTCCTCTCTCATGTACTCATTCTTTCACTCTCTCATTTATTTGTTTTATCTCATTTACTTACTCCTGACCCTACATTAAGACTATGAGTGAACTGTATATACATTTTATCACTCTGGGATGCTTAAATATCATAGAATATATGTGTGGGTGGGTTGGCCAGGTATGGTAGCCCGGCTGACTACCATACATACCACACTTGATTTTTTACAATAAATACTACTCATCTCACCCTATATTTTAAGGTAAGTAATGAGTGAACTGTATATACATTTTATCGCTCTGGGATGCTTAAATATCATAGAATTGTATGTGTGGGTGGGGTGGCCTGGTATGGTAGCCTGGCTGACTACCATACATACCACACTTGATTTCTTACAATAAATACTACTTGTGTCACCCTAGATTAAGACTATAAATATTTTAAGGTAAGTAATGAGTGCAATATGTGTGTATTGTACTTTTTATTGTTTTTTGATGCCTGGTTCTATTGCTAACTTAATATATGTTAGTGTAAACTTGTTATCTAGTGTTTGTATGCATTTGTAAGTGGAAAAAAAGGGTGTTCCACTTTACGGCGGTTTCCGCTTTACGGCGGTAGCCTGGAACCTAACCAGCCGTATAAGTGGGGCCTTCCTGTATATGGAATAGGTGGTAAGTTACTAAATGCTGTAAAGAGTTTTTATGAGGATAGTGAGGCTCAGGTTAGGGTGTGTAGAAGAGAGGGATACTACTTCCCGGTAAAAGTAGGTCTTAGACAGGGATGTGTAATGTCACCATGGTTGTTTAATATATTTATAGATGGGGTTGTAAAAGAAGTAAATGCTAGGGTGTTCAGGAGAGGGGTGGGATTAAATTATGGGGAATCAAATTCAAAATGGGAATTAACACAGTTACTTTTTGCTGATGATACTGTGCTTATGGGAGATTCTAAAGAAAAATTGCAAAGGTTAGTGGATGAGTTTGAGAATGTGTGTAAAGGTAGAAAGTTGAAAGTGAACATAGAAAAGAGTAAGGTGATGAGGGTATCAAATGATTTAGATAAAGAAAAATGGATATCAAATTGGGGAGGAGGAGTATGGAAGAAGTGAATGTTTTCAGATACTTGGGGGGTTGACGTGTCGGCGGATGAATTTATGAAGGATGAGGTTAATCATAGAATTGGTGAGGGAAAAAAGGTGAGTGGTGCATTGAGGTATATGTGGAGTCAAAAAATGTTATCTATGGAGGCAAAGAAGGGAATGTATGAAAGTATAGTAGTACCAACACTCTTATATGGGTGTGAAGCTTGGGTGGTAAATGCAGCAGCGAGGAGACAGTTGGAGGCAGTGGAGATGTCCTGTCTAAGGGCAATGTGTGGTGTAAATATTATGCAGAAAATTCGGAGTGTGGAAATTAGGAAAAGGTGTGGAGTTAATAAAAGTATTAGTCAGAGGGCAGAAGAGGGGTTGATGAGGTGGTTTGGTCATTTAGAGAGAATGGATCAAAGTAGAATGACATGGAAAGCATATAAATCTATAGGGGAAGGAAAGAGGGGTAGGGTCGTCCTCGAAAGGGTTGGAAAGAGGGGTAAAGGAGGTTTTGTGGGCGAGGGGCTTGGACTTCCAGCAAGCGTGCATGAGCGTGTTAGATAGGAGTGAATGGAGACGAATGATACTTGGGACCTGACGATCTGTTGGAGTGTGAGCAGGGTATTATTTAGTGAAGGGATTCAGGGAAACCGGTTATTTTCATATAGTCGGACTTGAGTCCTGGAAATGGGAAGTACAATGCCTGCACTTTAAAGGAGGAGTTTGGGATATTGGCAGTTTGGAGGGATATGTTGTGTATCTTTATACGTATATGCTTCTAAACTGTTGTACTCTGAGCACCTCTGCAAAAACAGTGATTATGTGTGAGTGTGGTGAAGGTGTTGAATGATGATGAAAGCATTTTCTTTTTGGGGATTTTCTTTCTTTTTTGGGTCACCCTGCCTCGGTGGGAGACGGCCGACTTGTTGAAAAAAAAAAATAAATGAGTACTGCAGTAGGCCTACTGACCTATGCTAGGCAAGTTTTACTCAAATCCAACCTTTATCTTTTACTTGTCGAACCTATTTTTAAAGCTACCCAAAGTTTCATGTTCAGTGAAAAAAAAGCAGAGAAAAGCAGGCAGAACAAGCAGGATAAGGCGAGACAAGGCTTGCTTCCATTTTTGCCTTCCTCCCTCTCTCCCTTTTTCCCTGCCTCCCTTCCTCTCTATCTCCCTCTCTGCCTCCTTCTCTCCCTGCCTCTCTGACTCCTCTCCTCTCCCTCCCTCCCTTCCTCCCTTGATCATTGAAACTAAAATCTTAGGTAATTAAAGAAGAAAAATGCTGGACTCAACTGAAGAAGCCTGCTGTGTAGGCAAAACGTTTCACAGTAAAGATACCTAACTGTTGCACATGTTTCTTACTTATCAACATGTTGGTATTGTATGACATTTTCATATTCAAGGCTTGCTTAGTATGGGTTAGTAGGCATACTGCAGTGCTTTTCTATTCTGTGTTGTGACAAAGTGAGGCAAGAGGTTAGCATGGCCTTCTGGATATTATCATATTTATTTGTATATTTAAGGTAGAATATGGTTACTAAGCGTGGTATATACATTGATGCTGCACCAAAGGAATAGAAATCTAGTGTGTGGTAGGCCCTCACTGTGTCAGAATTTCATCCTTTCAAAAGTCGTAGCCATGAATAAGTTAACCCCTGACATAATTTTATTGTAGACAAAATGTAAATAAATGGTTCAGAAAATCTTGAGTCACTAGACTCAGGATTTCCTGTCAAACATTTTCATATCTAGATACCTTGTAATTTCATCCAGTAGAACTTTACTGTGCTCCCTACCAAGGTTTGGGGGCCTGTAAATCACACCCAAAATTAGTTTTTCATGTCTCTCAAAAAACTAAAGACAAACGGTTCAGTGTCCATCGCTCTCACTTATATATCTTGTCTAATGCAACAATTTGAACCATCTCTGACATGCATCGCCACACCCTGTCGATGTGGAATGATTTATAGCCTTGTATGTAGCATTCAAAAGGCATTTCTCCATCTTTCAGGTTGAACCAAGTCTCTGTTAACCCTTTCAGTGTCAGTCCCGTTGTATCATGGCTTTGAAGCCAGTGTCAGTCCCATAGTATGACACCACAAGCTCAGTTCACTCAGATAAGTTGCGAGCGGTAAATTTGGGTCTAGATATGAGAGAATGGGTATATGCGGTAAGTGTGCATCATATAAAAAAAATACTGCAGCATGCAGTGCTTAATGAGAAAAAATGCAGTCATGTTTTTTATTTAAAACAGCGAATTTGTGGTGTGTTTTCATATGGCTTTTGTGGTTGTATTCTTGGTTTCTTGGTCTCATTTGATAGAATGGAAGATTTATTACAGAAATAGAGATGATTTTGATTAGTTTCAGTAGCTTGAAATTGAGCTCAAAGTATACTGGCCAGTCTAATACACATTGAGGAATGCACTGGCATTATTTACAAAATTAATACAGTAATGCAGTAGTGTGCATAAAAGTATATTTTCAATTTTATTGTGTGAATAAAAATTCAAAATGAAAAGCAAGCGTAATATAAGAGGGGCTTGGAGACGTGACAGAGGAAAAGAGGAAATGTTTATTTAGTGCCAGGAATGTCTACATTGTTTATTTTAGACCCTGTTTTCAAATTGGCAATTGTTGAATTTTCTATGAAATTGGCCAAATTACTGATTTATTATTTTTTTTTATTAACACATCGGCCGATTCTCACCAAGGCAGGGTGGCCCAAAAAAGAAAAACTTTCATCATCATTCACTCCATCACTGTCTTGCCAGAGGGTGCTTTACACTACAGTTATAAAACTGCAACATTAACACCCGTCCTTCAGAGTGTAGACACTGTACTTCCCATCTCCAGGACTCAAGTTCGGCCTGCCGGTTTCCCTGAACCCCTTCATAAATGTTACTTTGCTCACACTCCAACAGCACGTCACGTATTAAAAACCATTTGTCTCCATTCACTCCTATCAAATGTGCTCATGCACGCTTGCTGGAAGTCCAAGCCCCTCGCGCGCAAAACCTCCTTTATTCCCTCCCTCCAACCCTTCCTAGGCCGACCCCTACCCCGCCTTCCCTCAACTACAGATTTATACACTCTCGAAGTATTTCTGTTTTGTTCCATTCTCTCTACATGTCCAAACCACCTCGTCAACCCCTCCTCAGCCCTCTGGATAATAGTTTTGGTAATCCCACACCTCCTAATTTCCAAACTACGAATTCTCTGCATTATATTCACACCACACATTGCCCTCATACATGACATCTCCACTGCCTCCAGCCTTCTCCTCACTGCAATACTCATCACCCATGCTTCACACCCATACAAAAGTGTTGGTACAACTAAACTCTCATACATTTCCCTTTTTGCTTCCACGGACAAGTTCTTTGTCCGATCACTGTATTGGATAGTCGAAATAGGTAAATGGGTGGTTTTTGTACTCATTTGATAGTATAGAAAGAATACTAGTGAAATACCTATGAATTTGGTTGACTGGAATAGTGGAATTGGCTAAAAATAAAGCATAAAGTAGGTGAAATTGCCATTGTATAAATATCGCCGAGACTTTTAACTTTGCAAGAGCATAATTTCATAATTTTTCTATCAAATTTCATACTTTTTGGTTTCATTACCTTCAGAAAAAGATTCTCTGTCATTTCATATCGCCCCTGGGAGCATGTTTGCAAGCAGGGGTCACTACACTGAAAGGATTAAAGCAATAATAACTATGCTTCTTACACATGCAGTACCAGTGATATTTTGGGTTTTTCAGCTGCCGTTAGTCTGCTGCATCACCACTGATTCCCACATTTTTATACTGCTTCTCTTTCCCTCATGAATATCAGTTTCGTCTTATTTTTGCTGCTGTTTTCCTCCTGAGTGTGTACACCCATGCTTGCACAAATGATCCTTGCAGTTCATATTTTAATTCGTATATTTTTAAAAGATTTGTTATATTTTCTGTTCTTTAAATAAATATTTTTTATGTAATCTTAATTTTTTACACTTTTATTTTAGTTTGTATTTTATCATAGATTTAATGTGTACCTAGTTTTTTAATAATTCTGAATACAGTGGACCCCCGGCTAACGATATTTTTTCATTCCAGAAGTATGTTCAGGTGCCAGTACTGACCGAAGTTCTTCCCATAAGGAATATTGTGAAGTAGATTAGTCCATTTCAGACCCCCAAACATACACGTACAAACACACTTACATAAATACACTTACATAATTGGTCGCATTGGGAGGTGATCGTTAAGCAGGGGTCCACTGTACTAATGAAGCTTTGTTTTAATTTGAGGTACATGTATTTGTTTCCATTACCAGAAATGATAAGCTGATGTTAGACATTTTTATTTATATAACAGATGGACAGATTACGCTTGGAAACTTTGGAAACGAGACGTCATCTGCAGGAAACGCAAGTCACATTCTCGCTAAACAATCGTATACTAAAATGAGAAATGCTCTTGTAAATCTTAAAGAACCTGTAAGTTTTCAAATTTTTCTAAGATGAATTGTGTTTGCCAGTTATTAATAAATACACATAGTGCTACTGTATAATTTTCTTTATGTTCTTGTATTTTTTTTTTTTTTTTAACAAGTCAGCCGTCTCCCATCGAGGCAGGGTGACCCAAAACGAAAGAAAATCCCAAAAAAGAAAATACTTTCATCATCATCCAACACTTTCACCTCACTCACACATAATCACTGTTTTTGCAGAGGTGCTCAGAATACAACAGTTTAGAAGTATATATGTATAAAGGTACACAACATATCCCTCCAAACTGCCAATATCCCAAACCCCTCCTTTAAAGTGCAGGCATTGTACTTCCCAGTTCCAGTACTCAAGTCCGGCTATAGAAAAATAACTGGTTTCCCTGAATCCCTTAACTAAATATTACCCTGCTCACACTCCAACAGAGAGAGAGCTATAGCTGGGTTCAGTTCTTTCTTTTAATATTACAGTATTAATATGTTTTTCTTTTTGCATTGCAGACAACAGCTCTAGTCTAAAATTAATATTTGTGTGTACATGTGTGTGTGTGTGTGTGTGTGTGTGCACATGCTTGTGCCCACAGATGCACACACATAATGATGCAGTTCTCACTCACTTGTTATAATAATGTAGCTCTCACTCGCATGTTATAATAATGTAGTTCTCACTCACATGTTATAATAATGTAGTTCTTACTCACATGTTATAATAATGTAGTTCTTACTCACATGTTATAATAATGTAGTTCTTACTCACATGTTATAATAATGTAGTTCTTACTCACATGTTATAATAATGTAGTTCTTACTCACATGTTATAATAATGTAGTTCTTACTCACATGTTATAATAATGTAGTTCTTACTCACATGTTATAATAATGTAGTTCTCACTCACATGTTATAATGTAGTTCTTACTCACATGTTATAATAATGTAGTTCTTACTCACATGTTATAATAATGTAGTTCTTACTCACATGTTATAATATGTAGTTCTTACTCACTTGTTATAATAATGTAGTTCTTACTCACTTGTTATAATAATGTAGTTCTTACTCACATGTTATAATAATGTAGCTCTCACTAACATGTTATAATAATGTAGTTCTTACTCACATGTTATAATAATGTAGTTCTTACTCACATGTTATAATAATGTAGCTCTCACTCACATGTTATAATAATGTAGTTCTTACTCACATGTTATAATAATGTAGTTCTTACTCACATGTTATAATAATGTAGTTCTTACTCACATGTTATAATAATGTAGTTCTTACTCACATGTTATAATGTAGCTCTCACTCACATGTTATAATAATGTAGTTCTTACTCACATGTTATAATAATGTAGTTCTTACTCACATGTTATAATGTAGTTCTTACTCACATGTTATAATAATGTAGTTCTTGCTCACATGTTATAATAATGTAGTTCTTACTCACTTGTTATAATAATGTAGTTCTTACTCACATGTTATAATAATGTAGTTCTTACTCACTTGTTATAATAATGTAGTTCTTGCTCACATGTTATAATAATGTAGTTCTTACTCACTTGTTATAATAATGTAGTTCTTACTCACATGTTATAATAATGTAGTTCTTACTCACATGTTATAATAATGTAGTTCTTGCTCACATGTTATAATAATGTAGTTCTTACTCACTTGTTATAATAATGTAGTTCTTACTCACATGTTATAATGTAGTTCTTACTCACATGTTATAATGTAGTTCTTACTCACATGTTATAATGTAGTTCTTGCTCACATGTTATAATAATGTAGTTCTTACTCACTTGTTATAATAATGTAGTTCTTACTCACATGTTATAATAATGTAGTTCTTACTCACATGTTATAATGTAGTTCTTACTCACATGTTATAATAATGTAGTTCTTACTCACTTGTTATAATAATGTAGTTCTTACATGTTATAATAATGTAGTTCTTACTCACATGTTATAATAATGCAGTTCTTACTTGTTATAATAATGTAGTTCTAACTCATTTGTTATAATAATGTAGTTCTTACTCACTTGTTATAATAATGTAGTTCTTACTCACATGTTATAATAATGTAGTTCTTACTCACATGTTATAATGTAGTTCTTACTCACATGTTATAATAATGTAGTTCTTACTCACATGTTATAATGTAGTTCTTACTCACATGTTATAATAATGTAGTTCTTACTCATTTGTTATAATAATGTAGTTCTTACTCACATGTTATAATAATGTAGTTCTTACTCACTTGTTATAATAATGTAGTTCTTACTCACATGTTATAATAATGTAGTTCTTACTCACATGTTATAATAATGTAGTTCTTACTCACTTGTTATAATAATGTAGTTCTTACATGTTATAATAATGCAGTTCTTACTTGTTATAATAATGTAGTTCTTACTCATTTGTTATAATAATGTAGTTCTTACTCACATGTTATAATAATGTAGTTCTTACTCACTTGTTATAATAATGTAGTTCTTACTCACATGTTATAATAATGTAGTTCTTACTCACATGTTATAATAATGTAGTTCTTACTCACATGTTATAATAATGCAGTTCTTACTTGTTATAATAATGTAGTTCTTACTCATTTGTTATAATAATGTAGTTCTTACTCACATGTTATAATAATGTAGTTCTTACTCACTTGTTATAATATGTAGTTCTTACTCACATGTTATAATAATGTAGTTCTTACTCACATGTTATAATAATGTAGTTCTTACTCACTTGTTATAATAATGTAGTTCTTACTCACATGTTATAATAATGTAGTTCTTACTCACATGTTATAATAATGTAGTTCGTACTCACATGTTATAATAATGTAGTTCTTACTCACATGTTATAATAATGTAGTTCTTACTCACATGTTATAATAATGTAGTTCTTACTCACATGTTATAATAATGTAGTTCTTACATGTTATAATAATGTAGTTCTGACTCGCTTGTTATAATAATGTAGTTCTTACTCACATGTTATAATAATGTAGTTCTTACTCACATGTTATAATAATGTAGTTCTTACTCACTTGTTATAATAATGTAGTTCTTACTCACATGTTATAATAATGTAGTTCTTACTCACATGTTATAATAATGTAGTTCTTACTCACTTGTTATAATAATGTAGTTCTTACTCACATGTTATAATAATGTAGTTCTTACTCACATGTTATAATAATGTAGTTCTTACTCACATGTTATAATAATGTAGTTCTTACATGTTATAATAATGTAGTTCTTACTCATTTGTTATAATAATGTAGTTCTTACTCACTTGTTATAATAATGTAGTTCTTACTCACATGTTATAATAATGTAGTTCTTACTCACATGTTATAATAATGTAGTTCTTACTCACTTGTTATAATAATGTAGTTCTTACTCACATGTTATAATAATGCAGTTCTTACTTGTTATAATAATGTAGTTCTTACTCACATGTTATAATAATGTAGTTCTTACTCACATGTTATAATAATGTAGTTCTTACTCACATGTTATAATAATGTAGTTCTTACTCACTTGTTATAATAATGTAGTTCTTACTCACATGTTATAATAATGCAGTTCTTACATGTTATAATAATGTAGTTCTTACTCACATGTTATAATAATGCAGTTCTTACTTGTTATAATAATGTAGTTCTTACTCACATGTTATAATAATGTAGTTCTTACTCACTTGTTATAATAATGTAGTTCTTACTCACATGTTATAATAATGTTCTTACTCACATGTTATAATAATGTAGTTCTTACTCACATGTTATAATAATGTAGTTCTTACTCACATGTTATAATAATGTAGTTCTTACTCACTTGTTATAATAATGTAGTTCTTACTCACATGTTATAATAATGTAGTTCTTACTCACTTGTTATAATTATGTAGTTCTGACTCACTTGTTATAATAATGTAGTTCTTACTCACTTGTTATAATGTAGTTCTTACATGTTATAATAATGTAGTTCTGACTCACTTGTTATAATAATGTAGTTCTTACTCACTTGTTATAATAATGTAGTTCTTACTCACATGTTATAATAATGTAGTTCTTACTCACTTGTTATAATAATGTAGTTCTTACTCACTTGTTATAATGTAGTTCTTACTCACTTGTTATAATAATGTAGTTCTTACTCACTTGTTATAATAATGTAATTCTTACTCACTTGTTATAATAATGTAGTTCTTACTCACATGTTATAATAATGTAGTTCTTACTCACATGTTATAATAATGTAGTTCTTACTCACTTGTTATAATAATGTAGTTCTTACTCACATGTTATAATGTAGTTCTTACTCACTTGTTATAATAATGTAGTTCTTACTCACTGTAGGTAGTAGGTTGGTAGACAGCAACCGCCCAGGGAGGTACTACCGTCCTGCCAAGTGAGTGTAAAACGAAAGCCTGTAATTGTTTTACATGATGGTAGGATTGCTGGTGTCTTTTGTCTGTCTCATAAATATGCAAGATTACAGGTAAGTCTTGCTACTTCTACTTACACTTAGGTCACACTACACATACATGTACAAGCATATATATACACACCCCTCTGGGTTTTCTTCTATTTTCTTTCTAATTCTTGTTCTTGTTTATTTCCTCTTATCTCCATGGGGAAGTGGAACAGAATTCTTCCTCTGTAAGCCATGCGTGTCGTAAGAGGCGACTAAAATGCCGGGAGCAAGGGGCTAGTAACCCCTTCTCCTGTATATATTACTAAATTTAAAAGGAGAAACTTCAGTTTTTTCTTTTGGGCCACCCCACCTCGGTGGGATACGGCTGGTACGTTGAAAGAAGAAGAAGTTCTTACTCACTTGTTATAATAATGTAGTTCTTACATGTTATAATAATGTAGTTCTTACTCACATGTTATAATAATGTAGTTCTTACTCACTTGTTATAATGTAGTTCTTACTCACTTGTTATAATAATGTAGTTCTTACTCACATGTTATAATAATGTAGTTCTTACTCACTTGTTATAATAATGTAGTTCTTACTCACATGTTATAATAATGTTCTTACTCACTTGTTATAATAATGTAGTTCTTACTCACATGTTATAATAATGTTCTTACTCACTTGTTATAATGTAGTTCTCATTCACATGTTATAATAATGTAGTTCTCACTCACATGTTATAATAATGTAGTTCTTACTCACATGTTATAATAATGTAGCTCTCACTCACATGTTATAATAATGTAGTTCTTGCTCACATGTTATAATAATGTAGTTCTTACTCACATGTTATAATAATGTAGTTCTCACTCACATGTTATAATAATGTAGTTCTTGCTCACATGTTATAATAATGTAGTTCTTACTCACATGTTATAATAATGTAGTTCTCACTCACATGTTATAATAATGTAGTTCTTGCTCACATGTTATAATAATGTAGTTCTTACTCGCATGTTATAATAATGTAGTTCTTACTCACATGTTATAATAATGTAGTTCTTGCTCACATGTTATAATAATGTAGTTCTTACTCACATGTTATAATAATGTAGTTCTTACTCACATGTTATAATAATGTAGTTCTTACTCACATGTTATAATAATGTAGTTCTTACTCACATGTTATAATAATGTAGTTCTTACTCACATGTTATAATAATGTTCTTACTCACTTGTTATAATAATGTAGTTCTTACTCACATGTTATAATAATGTAGTTCTTACTCACATGTTATAATAATATAAATAAATAAATTTCCCATGTGATTTGATCTTACATAATTTTTTTTAATTTTCAGTGTGAATGGCTGATGGAAAGCTTCCTGGATCTGGAATATGATCTCTATGGTATTGAAAGAGCACTTAAAACACTCAAAGGCCACTTGTTAAAGAATAGTGGTCAGTTACCTGCTCTGCGGTTGTCATATTACTTTTTTATAAACAAAGATCCAGGTGATATTGAAAGTCTGATGACAGTTCTTCAGGTAATTATACACTGTGTGTGTGTATGTGCGCATGCATGAGTATGTGCGTGCATGTGTTCTTGTGTTTGTGTTGTGTGTGTTATGTGTGTGTTGTGTGTGTGTTGTGTTATGTGTGTGTGTGTGTTGTGTTGTGTTGTGTGTGTTTTGTGTGTTGTGTGTGTGTTGTGTGTTGTGTTGTGTGTGTGTTGTGTTGTGTGTTTGTTGTGTGTGTGTTGTGTTGTGTGTGTGTTGTGTGTGTGTTGTGTGTTGTGTGTTGTGTGTGTGTTGTGTTGTGTGTGTGTGTTGTGTGTTGTGTTGTGTGTGTGTTGTGTTGTGTGTTTTGTTGTGTTGTGTGTGTGTTGTATTGTGTGTGTGTTGTGTGTGTTGTATTGTGTGTGTGTTGTGTGTGTGTTGTGTTGTGTGTGTGTGTTGTGTGTTGTGTTGTGTGTGTGTTGTGTTGTGTGTGTGTGTTGTGTGTTGTGTTGTGTGTGTGTTGTGTTGTGTGTGTGTTGTGTTGTGTGTGTGTTGTGTTGTGTGTGTGTTGTGTGTTTGTTGTGTGTGTGTTGTGTGTGTGTTTGTGTTGTGTGTGTGTGTTGTGTGTTGTGTTGTGTGTGTGTGTTGTGTGTGTGTTGTGTTGTGTGTGTGTTGTATTGTGTGTGTGTGTTGTGTGTTTGTTGTATTGTGTGTGTGTTGTGTGTGTGTTGTGTGTGTTGTGTGTGTGTGTGCTGTGTGTGTGTTTTGTGTGTTTGTGTGTGTGTGTGTGTGTGTGTGTGTGTGTGTGTGTGTGTGGTGTGTGTGTGTGTGTGTGTGTTGTGTGTGTGTTTTGTACTCACCTAATTGTACTCACCTAATTGTGGTTGCAGGGGTCGAGACTCAGCTCCTGTCCCCGCCTTTTCACCAGCCACTACTAGGTCCTCTCTCCCCCTGCTCCATGAGCTTTATCATACCTCATCTTAAAACTATGTATAGTTCCTGCCTCCACTACATCGCTTGCCAGACTATTCCACTTCCTAACTACTCTATGACTGAAGAAATACTTCTTAACATCCCTTTGACTCATCTGAGTCTTCATCTTCCAATTGTGACCCCTTGTTTCTGTGTCCCATCTCTGGAACATCCAGTCTCTGTCCACCTTGTCTATTCCACGCAGTATTTTGTATATCGTTATCATGTCTCCCCTGACCCTCCTGTCCTCCAGTGTTGTCAGACCGATTTCCCTTAACCTTTCTTCACAGGACATTCCCCTTAGTTCTGGAACTAGCCTTGTTGCAAACCTTTGCACTTTCTCTAATTTCTTGACGTGTTTGACCAGACGTGGGTTCCAAACTGGTGCTGCGTACTCCAGTATGGGCCTGACGTACAGTGTATAAAGTCTTGAACGATTCCTTACTGAGGTACCGGAACGCTATTCTCAGGTTTGCCAAGCGCCCATATGCCACAGCAGTTATCTGGTTAATGTGTGCTTCTGGCAATGTACTCGGTATTTTTACTCACTCCTAGGTCTTTCTCCTTGAGCGAGGTTTGCAGCCTTTGGCCTCCTAGCCTATACTCTGTCTGCAGTCTTCTTTGCCCTCCTCCGATCTTCATGACTTTGCATTTGGTGGGGTTAAATTCTAGGAGCCAGTTTCAGGACCACACATCCAGCCTGTCCAGGTCTTTTTGTAGACCTGTCTGGTCCGCATCTGATTTAATTCTCCTCATTAACTTCACATCATCTGCAAACAGGGACACTTCTGAGTCTGTCCCTTCCGTCATGTCATTCACATATACCAAGAATAGCACTGGTCCCGGACTGATCCCTGTGGGACCCCACTCGTCACTGGCACCCACTGTAATACCTCATCACGGACCATGACTCGCTGTTGCCTCCCTGTTAGGTATTCTCTGATCCATTGCAGTGCCCTTCCTGTTATATGTGCCTGTTCCTCTAGCTTCTATACTAATCTCTTGTGAGGAACTGTGTCGAAGGCCTTCTTGCAGTCCAAGAAAATGCAATCAACCCACCCCTCCCTCTCATTTCTTACTTGAGTTACCTTGTCATAAAACTCTACTAGGTTTGTGACACAGGATTTGCCTTCCATGAATCCGTGCTGGCTGTCGTTTATGATCTTGTTCCGCTTCAGGTGCTCTAACACTCTCCTCTGATAATTTTTTCCCAAGACTTCGCGTACTACCATGTCAGTGACACTGGTCTATAATTTAGTGCTTCATTTCTGTCTCCCTTCTTAAAGATGGGGACTGCATTTGCCTTTTCCAAAACTTCAGGTAGTTGCCCAGTTTCAAGGGAAGTTTTTTGAAGATTTTGGTTAGTGGCACATGTAGTGTCCCTGCTCCTCTCTAAGGCCCCATGGAGAGATGTCCAGTCCACTGCCTTTGAGGTATCAAGGTCACTTAGGAGCTTCCCCACCTAATCCTCAGTTGTGTGTAATTCATCCAAACACTTGTTGGTATATCCCTTGTTGCTATACCACTGTTTTTTTCTTCCCAGTGTCCTTCAGCCTCCACTGTAAATACTTCCTGAAATCTCATGTTGAGCTCCTCACTTTACCTCCTGGTCATTTCTTGTGAGCTCCCACCTTCCTTCCTCAGCCTGATTACCTGGTCCCTGACTGTTGTCTTCCTCCTGATGTGGCTGTAGATTAGTTTCGGATCAGACTTGACTTTCGATGCTATTTTCATTTTCATACTGCCGCTGCACCTCCCTCCTTATCTGTGCATACTCGTTTTTGGCTCTTCGACTAATCGCTTTATTCTCCTGAGTCCTTTGCCCTTTTGTAACTTTTTCCATTCTCTAGAGCCTTAGTTTTTGCTTTCCTGCACCCTTTGGGTAAACCAAAGGGGTTGTTCTTGCCCTTACCATTATTTTTTGTTACCTTGGGAAAACCCTTTTCCCCTGCTCCTTGCATTTTGTTGTTACAAAGTCCATCATTTCGTTTACTGATTTTCCCACCCAAATCCTGTTCCCACTGAACTCCTGCAGGAAGATCTCATTCCCGTGTAGTTCCCATTTTTTAGTTTAGCTTTTCCCTTTCACTCCTGTTTACCTTCTCCATTATAGCTCCACTATGTATTCAAAGCTCATAACTACGTGGTCACTAGCTCCAAGGGGCCTTTCATAGTGATGTGCTCAAAAGTCTGAGCTACTCAGGGTGAACACGAGGTCCAGTCTTGCTGGTTCATCCTCCCCTCTCTCTCTCTTGGTATTATCCTAACATGTTGGTGCATGAGATTTGCCAACACCACATCCTCATCTTGGTTTTCCATGTTTCGGGACCCCCACGTGGCTCCAGGTTTTCCCAATCAATCTCCTGTGATTGAAGTTGCCATGACCAGTAACTTCGCTCTACTTGAGTGGCCCTTCTTGCCCCTCAGCTTTGAGTGTCCACCATTGCTCTGTTGCACTCATCATACTCCTCTTTTTGGCCTCTGCAGTTCTGTGGTGGGTTATACACCTGCAATGACTACCCTTTTGTTCCCTGAAATGAACTGTACTACTATGAGCGTGAGGGGAGTGTGAGTGTGAGTGTGAGTGTGTGTGTGTGTGTGTGTGTGTGTTGTGTGTGTGTGTGTGTGTGTGTGTGTGTGTGTTGTGTGTGTGTGTGTGTGTGTGTACTCACCTAAATTTTATCACCTAATTGTGGGTGCAGGGGTCGAGACTCAGTCCTGGCCCGCCTCTTCATAATCGCTACTGGGTCCTCTCTCTCTCTCTGCTTCCTGAGCTTTGTCATACCTCTTCTTAAAAAATATGTATGGTTCCTGCCTCCCCTATTCACTTGCTTGGCTATTCCCCTTTCTGACAACTCTATGACTGAAGAATACAGTGGACCCCCGCTTAACGATCCCTCCAAAATGTAGTTCCAAACTCTTTTATGGGTGTGACGCTTGGGTGGTATATGCAGCAGCGAGGAGACAGTTGGACGGAGTCAGAGATGCCTAGTCTAAGGGGCAATGTGTGGTGTAAATATTATGCAGAAAAATTCGGAGGTGGAAATTAGGAAAAGGTGTGGAGAGTTAATAAAAGTATTATCAGAGGGCAGAAGAGGGTGTTGATTTGAGGTGGTTTGGTCATTTTAGAGAGTTTGGTTCAAAGTAGATAAATGACATGGAAAGCATTAAATTCTATAGGGGAAGGAAGGCGAGGTAGGGTCGTCCTCCGATACGGGTTGGAGAAGAGGGGTAATTAAATGATGTTTTGTGGGCAAATGGGTGTTTGGACTCCAGGCAAGTAGCTTGCGTGAGCGTGTTAGATAGGAGTGAATGGTAGACGAATGGTTACTTGGGAACCTGAACGATCTGTTGGAGTGAGTGTGTCAGTGTAATATTTTGTGTGTAGGGATTCAGAGGAGACCGGTTATTTTTTCATATAGTCGGACTTGAGTCTGGACTGGAAATTGGGAAGTACATGCCTGCACTTGTTAAAAGGAGGAGTTGGGGATATTGGCAGTTTGGAGGGATATGTTTGTGTATCTTTATACATTAATGCTTCTAAACTGTTTGTATTCTGACGGCACCTACAGCAAAAACTGTGTTTATGTGTGTGTGTGGTGAAGGTGTTAATGGATGATGAAAGCTTTTTCTTTTTGGGGATTATTTTTTTTTCTTTTTGAGGTTTCGGGTACCCTGCCTCGGTGGGAGCACGGTCCCGGACCCACACGACTTGTTGACAAAAAAAATGTGTACTGCTGTAGGCTACTGACTATGCTAGGCATGTTTTACTCAAATCCAAACTTTTCTTTTACTTGTCCAACCTATTTTTTAAATGCTACCCAAAGTTTCATGTTCAGTGAAAAAAAAAAAGCAGAGAAAAAGCAGGCAGAACAAGCAGAGATAAGGCTGAAGAGCAAAGGTTGCTTCCATTTTTGCCCTTCCTACCCTCTCTCCCTTTTTTTCCCCTGCTCCTTCTCTCTAATCTCCTCTCTGCCTCCTTCTCTCCCTGCCTCTCTGTCTCCTCCTCCTCTCCCTCCTCCCTTCCTCTTGATCCATTTGAAACTATAATCTTAAGGTAATTAAAGAGGAAACAA